AGTAGCTCCACATCCACCACCACCACCACCTCCTCCTCCTCCTCCTCCTCCTCCTCCTCCCAACCACGGCAGCTGCACCACCTCCACCGACTGCACCCATCGCCACTCCTACTGCATCGCGACCCGCACCCCGCCCATCCAGTCGACGCGAAAATGACCGCGAAGCCAAAGTCGCTCGTCGTCACCCTCAAGCTTCCACAGAGTGCACTGACGACCTTTCCCCACGAGCCCATCGCCGCTCCCGCGACTGAATCAAAGCCTAGCTCACCACCATCCGACGCGCCGTCCATTACCGTCGACCCAATGCCTGCCGACACATCCGCCAACTCGCCCGCCGCCATGAACGGAGCCAGCACGCCCTCGTCGCTCGCACCGCCCGTGCCAGAAGCGGAGAAGACCAAGGCCAAAAAGGGCCCCAAGCCAGGCTCCAAGCGCTCGTCTGCCGTCATGGAGGGCTCCTCGGCCTCCACGCCCAAGCCGCCGCGTGGCAAGCCAGGCCCCAAGCGCAAGAAGATGGGAGACATGCTCAACGACCCCAACGAAAAAGGTCCATTTGCCGCTCCTGCGCCCATCAACAAGCTCGGCCCCAAGGCCAACATGGGCATCATCAACCAAAACTTGCGCAATCTGGACCGCACCGGCAAGAAGTGCAGGAGGTGGGAGAAACGTGGCTTCCAAGTACGCTCCTTCACTGGCGTCGTCTGGTCTGTACCAAGCTACCAGGCACCTCCACGCAACTCCACCTTCCTCGAGGATGTCAAGAGCGACTCTGCCGGCTCCAGCGCCGACTCAAAGATGAAGGAAGAGAGCAGTGCCATTAGCGACAGCCTGCCCAATGGAGATGGCAACACACCAGTCCCGACTCCACTTGATGGTCTTGCCAGTTCGCCTGCTCCTATCCCTGCCGCTTGAGCACAAGCCAACATGCAGGATCGTCTTCGTCTCCTTCCTCTACTTTTTCTTTTATTCTTCTCTTCTTCTTCTGCTTTATCATGTAGCATGGACTTGCTTAGTCGCACTCGCCCACCACGCCCGAAAGGCTTTGGCATTGCGGTCTGTCGTCAGCATGCTCCACCATTTATCAGCATCCTTCCATGCTGTTCTTCGGACCTCCCTTGCTTGTTCGAATCACGTGGCCAGGCGCGATAGATGCGCCCCCACCCTATCTCTGTCTCTCCTTGTGTTCTGGTATACCACGTCTTTCCTATCGTAGCATGTACGGCGTCTGGATCCGCTGTGCATATCTGTTTCACAATAAAAGGCGTTATGATTGGGCGTCACATGCTGGGTGCTAGCATGGCAGTAATCGGGGTCATTACACGCGAGACTTGTCGGCCTGTCTGCTGGATATGGACCGCGACTTTGTTGACGGGAATGGGATTGTATAACAGAATTGCATGCCTTTTTCATTAAAAGCAAGTTTTTTTCCCAAGGAGTCACTTGAGTGAGACGTGTGCTTTGATAACTGTGGTTAGGCTAGATGATAGGCTAGATGGACGTGGCTTGGAATTGATTTGGTCGTGTGAGCAACGCAGATGGGGACTCATTCTAACAGTCCAGTCTCTGGACAAACAGGTCGTTTCTCTCGAAGAATAACTGTGCGTTTGTTGTTCGGCAAATGTGCTGACTTGGCCTGGCTGTGGAGTACCTACTGTAAGGTCTGTACCTACCATGTGCGTTATCGTAATCGCGGGGAACTTCATCTATCATAGTTCGGCCCTACTGACATGGCCACTGGAGCAGCTCATCGTCAAGAGTGCACAGTGCATAGCACGCCAGACCACCACCCGCTGAAAGTTTGAAATATGCATGCGCTTGTGATGATAGCTTCTGCCGCCCCAATTCATCCTTGATCTGTCTGGTAACAGCAGCGCCGGTGGATGCCAGCACAGTGCTCCTCTAGCTTCTCCCGCATCACGACGTCGCGACTTACCCACTCGTTCACGCGCTCCTGCGTTGAGCCCAACCCCAGCCTCCCACACGTCTTGCGCTGGCAATCACCCATCCGTGCTGTGTACGCCTCTGACAACCACCTATACTTTGTCCTGTCGGTGGCTATCGCTGCACCCGTTGGTCGCAACCTCCCGTTCCTGATCCGGAGGCCTCGACCCACCCCACCCTTCACCCCCGTCCCTCCCCACGCCACCACCACCGGAGGATGAGTATGAACGCTCGTCGAGAGAGTTGGGCACGCGTGGCTGCAGGAAGCACAGGCAATAGCACTCAGGCCTTCCAAGCGCCGAGCAGATCCGGGGCCTTCTCCCACCTCGGCATGAGCAGATCCATCCCCGACAACACCAGTCACCACCGCCACTCTCGCTCCACCGACGCGGATAGCCACCACCATAGCACGTCTGCAAGCTGGGGAAGGAGTGGCGCGCTGCCTTCCTATGCTACACAGCCTGGTCATTGGCAGTACCCCAGCGGAGGACTCGATCAGGTCATGCCGCTCTTCTTTGTGCCCTCGTATCTGAAAGGGTCCAAGTACGCCGAGAGGCTCGAGGAGGCGCTCAAGGCGAAACTGGCGGAACACCGGGAATCAAAGTCGACGCATTCTTCCAACCCCGGTTCCTTGTCGACGAGCTCGAGCAGCATCAATCTACACAAAGCGGCTGCGTCGCATCGCGGCCTAACACACGAGATCATTGAGCGCACGCCTGCGCTACCACAGGATCCGATATCGCCATGGCCGATGAGATGGAACGATGGGGATAAGTTCCCGCAGTTGGAAATCGAAGATGGCGGTAGATTGGCCAAGTTTGCGGGCACACAGAAGACGCATGATGAGGCGGCGGCAGTGCGGACAGACTTTCCCATGCCGAGGGAGTGTGGAATATATTACTACGAGGTGACGATAATATCAAAGGGCAAAGATGGGTATGTGGAGAGACACGGTGGTTACATAGGCCAAGCTAACAAGTAGGTGTAGGAGGATGATCGGACTCGGTTTCTCAGGACCCAAGGTCGCCCTTAGTCGAATACCGGGATGGGAGCCAGACTCGTATGCGTACCACGGCGATGATGGGCAGGTCTTTAGCAATAGCACGACTGGCAAGGCCTATGGTCCCAAGTTTGGAACTCTGGATGTTATCGGCTGTGGAATCAACTTTCGGACGAATACCGCCTTCTTCACCAAGAATGGGCACATGCTAGGTGAGATGAATGGCAGAGGAATCGAGAGTTTTAGTACTGATCCGTACAGGTACCGCATTCCGAGATCTCAAGCCAAACATGCAGTACTTTCCCACTGTCGGCATGAAGAAGCCCAATGAGACTGTCCGTGCAAACTTTGGCCAGGAGCCCTTTGCTTTTGATATCGACAAGATGATGCAAGACGAGAAGATGGCAATACAAGCAGAAATCGCACGCTCGAAATCGGCGTGGGATGTTGCCAGAGATGAAACGCCACTGATCCATCAGTTGGTCGCTCAGTACCTGGCACATGATGGTTATGTCGAGACGGCGCGAGCTTTTTCAAACGAGATTGTCGACGAAGCGAGAGCGTTGGCCAGCGATGGGGAGGCGGAGATTCCCTATCTTGCGGCAGTCGAAGATGTGGATGCTATACATAGGCAAAGTGGGTTCATACACTGTCTACGAGTAACAGGGATACTAATCAGAAACAGAAATCCGCACTGCCATCCTGGAAGGAGACATTGACAAAGCACTCAAACACACAACCGCTTACTATCCTTCGGTACTCCGCGAAAACGAAAAAATCTACTTCAAACTCCGGTGTCGAAAGTTCATCGAGATGATCAGGCGCTGTAACGAACTCAACCCGCAGTCACACCAGTCATCTGCGCAATCATCGAAACGTGGCGCAGACCCAGTGCCAAACAAACGATACTCGACGACGACGGACGAATACGACTTTGAAATGGAACTCGACGAGCAACTCGGTGTACACAATCCGCCGCCTAGCTGGGACCACAAAGACCAGGACCAAGACAACGACGACGACGATGATGATGACGACGAATTGGAAGACGAAGACGACGTCCAAGACAAGGAAGCACAGTGTCTCCAACTGACAGAGGAGACGATCAAATACGGCATGGAGCTCAAATCGGAATTTGCAAACGATCCCCGCCGGGAAATTAAACGAGCGCTCGAAGACACATTTGCACTTATTGGCTATGCGAATCCACGGGAGAGCAGTCTAGCGCCTCTGTTGGAAGTCGCAGGCCGTGTCCCGGTCGCAGAGGAACTCAATAGCGCTATTCTTGGTATGTCATCTCCTCTCTCTCTCTCTCTCTCTCTCTCACACACACACACACACACATAAATAATCAAAAACTAATCCCCACCCCCCAGTCTCCCTAGGTAAATCCTCCTCCGCCGTCCTCGAACTCCTCCTCCAACAAACCGAGGCTCTGCTCTCCCTACTCGCCGAAGATGGCGGCCCCGGCGCCTTTGTTAATCTCCAACGCGACTTTTTGCAATAGTTGGATTGGGACTGGGGGCGGGTGGATGGGGGAGGCTTTTAGTTTTTGTTGGGTTTGTTTGTTTGTAACCAGGGGGTGGTTGCAGATTATGGGTTTGCGGGGGTTGCGGGGGTTGCATATGCGATAGGGCGTTTTTTTTTCTTGTTTTTAGGGGATGGGGGAGGGGGTTGTGGACGGGTTGGTGGGTGGAGGGTGGAGGGTGGATGGGGGACTGCGAATGGGACTGGGGCTGACACAGACAGAGAGAGAGAGAGATACAAGCTACAAGCATCGAGTACAGTGAGTAAATAGTCGATAGTCGATAGTGAATAACAGCCCAGAGGCGTGCAAGGCTGGGTGAAATTTTTTCCTTTCGCGGAGTTTGCTTATACCATGTACTAATTCAAACTATATGCCATATACCTATGCCATATATGCTGCGCTGCCAAGACAAACAATACACTTTTCCTTCTCCAACTACACAACTAAACTTTATCCAACCTTCAGGATTCCTCTTCAAAAGAAAGGTGGGGACGAGGGAAAGAAAGAAAACTGCATCCATTGCTCATCACCCAACCTTACTCCTTCTTCCCCCACCAGATAGTCGGCTTTGGAAACCACCAGATGGTCGGCTTTGGAAACCACCATTTCTTGTCCGGAGCCTGGTCGTGGCCCTGACCCTGCTTCTGCTTCTCCGCCTTATCCTCCTTGCCCACCCTTGCCCCAAAGTCATCGAAGAAAACAACCATAATCGTCGTATCATCCACCGCACGCCTCTTGCGCGGCGGCGACATATACATCAAGCCGAGAAACAAGTTCCTCCTGGTCCCACCCATGGCATTGCGGGCCAGACAAACCGCCGCATTGTCATCCTCAATCGCAAAGTACTCGGGCGTAGCCTTCCAGTGGGGCTCGCCGTCCTTGATCTCCACGCCGGGCTCGAGTCTCAAGGCGAGGGAGAAGGAGGGCGGGTTGGCGAGGAGTTCGGGGTCCTTGGAGACGGAGCCGTTGCCGCGGGCTTTGGCTTCGAGCCAGCGCTCGACGCATTCCACGGCGTCTTCGGAGCTGATGTGGTCCCAGAGTCCGTCCGAGGCCATGATCATGAAGTCGCTTTTCGCTTTGGCGTCGCCGTCATGTGGATTGACGCGTACGATGGTGGTGTCTGTGACTTCGGGCTCGGCAGTCAGGTAGGGTGGTGGAGCCCGGCTTTCGGGACGTGGAGGGGGGCCCCAGAACTTTTTTTCTACCACTTTGACAAACATGTCCCTCCATTTCCAGCGATGGTCGCCAAAAGCGCGGGTTACGGCTAGACCGAGGAGGCGTCCGGTCTTGGGGTCGATGATGTCGGGTTCGTCCGGGTGGGATTCTGCGAGACGGGCGACTTCTTTGGGGTTGAAGCCCGTTTGATCTTCGGAAAGGGGGATGCATTTGTATCTGTTTGACGAGGCGTCCCAGCGGCCAAGGACGGCGCGGGAATCTCCTGTGCAAGCAACATGCAGCGTGCTCGCCTTGGGGTTGAATGCAGCGAGAAGGGCACAAGATCCTGAAACGACGGGGTCAGTAGCAGATGTGCCAGCTTCAGTTGCTGCTGGGCACCAGTTTGCTCCGATCCAACCAGTCTCCAGTATCTCTCCATCAAGGTAGGAAAAGGCCTTTTTGATTGTGCTCTCGACTTCCAAAGGTCCGCTGGTATATGGCAGAGCCGACAGCGCCAGTGACACCCTTGGGATGAGCACTCTCTGGAGCACCGACGCCATGTAAGGCCCTGCATGTCCGTCCATGATACTCCAGTAATTCCAAGGCATCTCGCCCAGGCCTAGACTCGTACCCAGCGCCAAATAATCCTCACAAGGCTGATTGCTCGCATATCTACATCCATGGGTGACCAGCATATTTTCATCCTTGGCTCTTCTCTCTGAGATCATCCAACCCGCCGCCATCCTGTCGAAGTTTGCAAGAATATAATCAGCACGTCCTGGGATGGTCAAGTCGGGATAATCTAGCACACAAGCATCTTGGAGGTCATGTTTGTTGTCGTAAAAGTGCAGTGGTGACCAGATTTCACCTTGAGTCCCGGCATAGATATGATCTTCCCACCAGTCATCGTTTACCTCGGCGACTACGTACAACAAGGCGCCCACAATGAGTATGAAGATTACAGACTTGGTGGGGAAGGCCGAGCGGAGAATAGTCGCAGTTGAGATATTTTGAGGCACCAATGCATTGGCAAGTCGCTGGGCTTTCACGGCGGTGACGAGACAAGGAAAACGCGAGATAGGCGCTCGCTGTGAATTGAACGCTCTTGACAAAGGTGTTTCGATGCGTCTTGGTTGGGCTGCACGTTGCCGCAAGCTACGACTCGCCGGTGCCCAAGACCCTCGTAGCCGCAGTGCAGAGGCCGCTTGCAGCAGAGCTGTAGATTTCGCCGCGCCTCTCCACCAAAGGGGTGACATGTTCTGATTGTGGATGAAGATTCGGGACTTCAAAAATGATGTTGTGAGAGTGATCGGGACGCTAGACTGTCCACGAATCGGGAGGCCTGGTCCGTGCATGCGCTAGTGCTTCCGTTCTTGGCCTGGGCGGAATTGCTTGTTTACTTAGCCTCCGTGGAGATGAACTGCGCGGAGTGGTACCCAGTGGCATCATAAGCCTACCTTGAAGATCTCTGGAGAGGTTTCCAGATTCTCTAGTTTACTTTCGCGAATACTCTTACGCTCTTGATTGATGTTTGCAGCTTTCACGGTCTGTAACCATAGTGCGATTGCCCCGGTGAATTCATTCTGTCTGGTAAAAACTTGAGGATTGCGATGCTGTTCTACGTGCCTTCAACACCGTCGCTTACTGCAAACCTCTAGTCTGAGGACAGTCACGAACTCAATTGTGATTCAGATGCGGAGAGGTATCTAATGAGGGACTGTTTGAGAGGCCGCTTCAGTGCAACGTGGGTATTCGGAAAACCTCATAAACTCCCAATTTCAAACCCAAATCCCATGAGCGCCCTAGTTAAAAAAGGCAATGATGACCAGCAGCATGGCGGCTCTGCCAAATAAGGAGATAACGAGTATTTTCAAACCCATAAAAAGACCGGTAGGTGCCATGTAGAACAAAATATCCGCTGGCTGGGTATCTGATGGTGTACAGCCAGCGAATGGCCAGATGGAAAAACACAAACAATGAACAACTATGCGGACAACCCTCAGTCCTATTCAAACAAGCCTCCATAGTTCGACGTGTCTATGCTGCGCATGAGATCCGTAATAGATTAATGATGATGATGTGACAGCAGGCATCCAAAGGCGACAGGAGACATCACATCTCTGTCCAGTGAACGTCCTCCAGGCGATCAACATCCTCCCATTCTCTCTTTTTCTTCTCTTTCTTTTTTTCATTTGTGTTCTTACGTCGGAGCATCAACTTCATCTTGGATGCCAATTTGTTAAACGGGGCGATGCCAGGACTGGGACTTCCGGCTTCTTTGGACTTGGGCGGCTCGTTGTAATCAATATGTGTAACTTTCGAAGTATTGTCGTTCCTCTGGTCCAGGTTGACAACATGAACGTCCCTGGGCCGTTTCATGGCTCGCGGCTGACTTGGGGGCTGAGACAATGGCGAGGTCACCATGGGCACCTCCTTGTGAGTAACGGTTGGTACCTTTGCGCGAGACATCACGTTAGGATAATGCGGAGGCGCCTTGACGGGCGCCACCATATCCCATGCTGGCTCTGTAGGAGTAGAAGGCTCGGATGACGAGGACATGGGCCGCATGAGGACCACAGTCGAGCTGTCCCATGCTTGATCCATCCTTGGAGAGTAGGCTGGTGTGGATGGCTCTGAATCAATGAATGTACCGAATGACTTGGCTGACATAGGAGGCGACATTGGACCCGAAGATTGTGGGCTTTTGGGTGAGGGAAAACTTAGAGCAGAGAACCGGTGTGGTCGTCGAGGCGACATGGCATGAGGTGATTTGGGCATTCCATGTGTAGAGAGGGGTCGTTGCAGATCAGGTCTTCCAGATGGCCCTGAAGCCGACAAAGAGTCCGGGGAAGGCACCGAGAGAGTAGCCATGATGTTGGTATGTTCGGGCCTTCACAAGTTTCTCAGCTGTTGAAGGAGTTTGTCTTTCGATGGGACAAGCGCTGCATAAATGAAGGCACACGATCGACGCTGACAGGCAGTGAGAAAGGGAAAGACAGGACCCGCTATCAGCCAGAACTATCGGAGGATTATGGGCAGCGCAGGCAACGAGTACGAATGGGGCGGTAAAACAGAAAGAGAGGGGTGGAAATGACTGCGCCCCTACGCAAGAGGGTACGATAACAGAAGGCTGAAAGCCGTACTACCTGAGGGCCTGCAGGCTACGATTCCATTATATGAATGCACCACACACGCGTCATCCGCGCCGCAGAGGTGCGTTAGAGACCGGTGACAACGCTGACGGCCCCTCAAAGCTCCATCCTACCATTTGTGGTGGCGACGTGGATCCACGCTGCTGGTATAAACGCGGTTGAATACTCGTCGAGGCGCCTGTCTTGATCCACCGCGACATGCTAATACAGTTTTCCAGAGTAAGAGTGGAGGGGTAAGGAGTGAGTCTAAGGACATTTGGCCTGCCGCTCGAGGTTGCTGATTCGTAACCTCATCCTGTGAGGCGCTAAGGACGGTCGATCATTGGCTGGCGTGGACAACTGCGCCGCACCCATTCTCCAAGACTCGCTACAACTTGGACAACCCCATCCGTTCTCATTACTAGCTGTAAGCCAACACTAATATACTACCACGCACCTGGGCCTAGTCGCCGTCTCTCAGACGTTGGGTACCCGCCTTGCTTCTTGTCATTGGACACGCTGTCAGTCCAATCAGCTTCGGAGAAGACATGTTTACCAAGTACAAACATATGGCTAGACAGCTGACGAGCAAGGTGTTCAGCTTGGACTGGCCATGGCCATGACCTGGTAAGACGTAGGATCAAAACTCTGACCCTGGAAGCCGGCTCGGTTGACAAGGCGTTCGCCCTGGATAGTGGCCGCCTCCATCCCATGGTTCGCGCCCACCACAACCTTCAGGTTCAATAAAGGGACGCTAGGGTCATGAGTTCGTCAGATCGCGAAGGCCTGCCAATGACCAACATGGCTGTTCAACCCTCCAGTCTCCACTCAGTCTCGTGTTGCCTTGCTTCGATAGCTTTGTCGGCCCCTCAGTCGTCTGGACATTTAGTTCCGTGCCGCAGGCAACATGCACTGGACCCCTGTACTGGTAGTGCATGGAGAAGGAGTTGGCTCGTTGTGGAGGACCTGCTCGACACAAAGTCTGTCATGTGCTGTACAACAGTGGTAAGCGCCGTACGAATGGCTTATGTACCGGTATGCGACAAGAAGCAAGTGTCAGCGTACTCTGTATCTGCGGGCCAAATTGCTTATGTTTTGTTGGTGGTTGCACATGTATCGTCAGGTGCTGGCAAGTCTTCAGGTATAACAGAAGCGAGCATCTCGTGCAGCCCTGTCCGTACCGGTAAGCGGTCGAGGACCAAAGGTACGCGTACATCGAGTCCATAGTCCATACATACACGGTAGATCTGGACAAGAGATGGTGGCAACGGGCAGGAAGCCGATGCGGGGGCGCTGCACGGGAGAGGCGCGACGGCCAACGCCTGTCTACCAGAAGCAGAACGTCGTGCATCTCAATGCATCAGCTTACTGTGTGCCGTGAAGGTGTGCCGTGAAAGGCGAGGATGCATGAGCGGCCTTTGCCTGCCTCCATCGGAAAGTCCTACCGGTTTTTGGCCCTAGCCACATATGGCCTAGTCTGTAATCCGACAATGCACGACCGTTTCGAGCTTCAGTCTAACCACCACCACCACCACCACCACCACCGAGCCTCCTCGCTATGTCGACGCAGAAAAGACACCTCACCCATCTCCCAGGAAACCGTGTAAGTTTCCACATCAAGGCTATAGGGGCCGGCAGATTTGAAGCGAACATCACGCGTAAACAAAGTACATTGGAATGAACTCGACCAGTCCATGATAGGGGCTCACACCATTCCTTCGATGTGTATTCGCCAACTTCAGTCCCTTGCTGTTAGCCGCGGCAGAGACTCCGCAGGACTCATCAGTTGATTGAGGCCGAAGAAGACATCGTGACCAAAAGACAGCATGAGCACAGTGTCAGTGACGGTTTTGCTTGCTACACAGTACACGCCTCCGTCAGTGGCCTAACACTATTCTCCCAGAATAGGTGCAAGAAGAAGTTCCATTCCTCAAGTGTGCCTTCTGGGCCATAAACTGATGCTCTGCCAAGTTCCCAGTCAGGGCATCATGTGGTACAGCCCATTCCTCTGACTGTCGCTTGATCCCGATGTCAACAAGATCAGTCGGATCCTATCTCACCATAAATTGGTTACACCCTGGTCTACAAGTCTCACGAATCTCAAGCACTCGTTCTCTCTACACTGTCCTTTCTGACATTCTATCCTTCACTCGTTCAATATGAGGTCCGACTTCTTGCTCTGCGCCATGGTCGGCATGGTCAGCGCATCTACAATCACCCCGCGCGGAGACAATGGATATGAGACGAAGAACGGACACGAATCTAAGCCAGCGGAGTACAAGGCTGCTCCAGCTCTGCCCATGGACGCTTATGAGACAGACAAGTACTCTGAGGCAGCTAAGCAGAAGGGTTACTCAGCCGAGCCCTACTCGCAAGGATCTGGACATGCATGGCGCCCAAAGACGAGCCATCCCGAGTTCTTCAGCGTCCGTGTTGATGAGCAGTGCGACGACGGAGAAGACCCCGCCACTGAGTGTCAGTTCGACAACTACGCTATCCGCCTGGAACAGGGCATTGTCATTGCCACTCCTTACAACAAGTGGTGGGACCCTAAGCTTCCCATCTTCTTCGTTGACGATGACACTGAGCTATACACGGCAAGGATTTGCAAAACCAAGAAGCCATGTGGCTGCTAACAGGTCAATAGGTCAGCAAGAAGCCTCTTCAACTCTTTGTTGACACCGTAACTGGTGCGCTTCGCTACGCTCCCGTTGGATTCCTCCCACCAAACTCGATCGCGTTCAGCTTCTACAAGACTGGTAACAACCCTCTGGGTAATGTCGACCCCAGCCCTGCTCACTTGAGCTGGCCATCCACCCAGGGTAACACTTTGTTCGGAGACGGCCCATGGAACTTGTGTGCTCTTGGCAACACCGGACAGTACCAAGTATTCGTCAGCAACGAGAACTACGAGGAAGACATTCCCTCAGGTGTATTCAAGGACCCTACCGAGTGCCAGAGGAGGTCCCTTGCTGCCATCAACGCCAGCCCTTGGAGAACCGGCGCCAGCGCCCCATACTAGGTTTTGATGTCGCGCATACCTCATAGACCTGCCGCTCGTGATGGTCATCACTCATATTTGCTATTCTCATCGCACTCATAATTGCTTGCTCCCCTCCCAATTTGTCATTCACCCCATTGTACCCTAGGCGAAATTGAATATGTAGTATCGTTTCAATAGAGCTTCTTGTCCTCTCTTTATGCTATTATTAAAGAGCTAGTTAATGCAACAATATATTACTTCCATTATCAATTCATGTCTTCGTCGTAGCCAACCGTTGTATCACATTACCCACTTCAATATCGGCGCAAACGCTCTTCGTCGTCTCGCTGGATATCATCACTAGGCAGCCATGTCACGACTGCTTCCTTTCTTCCTTTATACAAATTTCTATAAGCCATGTTGGCCTCTGGCCTCTGGAATCAAAACATAGTAGGGACACTGCGCAGTGCCACCGCGTTCACGATCAACCACGGTACAGAGACCTGACACGTGCGATGGGCATGAAGAAGTCTCCAAACCTGTCGTCAAAAGTCTCAGGAACCTTCGCTGTAGAAGCATCAAGCACTTCGCCTCTCAGATTCGCCGCTCATGCGACAGCAACCAAACCGAGAGCAAAGCTTTGCTCAGTGCCAAGAACGCAAACGGCGTCTTTACTGCGCACTCATACCCCAAGCACAGTTCAGACACAATCCGAGCTAGTGGTAATATCCTAGGTGAACACGACAAGAGCGGTGCCAAGGCGGCAAGTACAGTCCAGGCGGCCACGACGGTGAAGGTGAAGGCGGATTGCGTCTCCCACCAGCTGTGCCTCTGCTCCACTATATATTCTACACCCACCTCTCCTGTGCTCACAACTTCTGATATCACACTTTCTGCACTTATACCTTCTATACTCGTACATCCTGCATTCACACCTTCTGCATTGCAACCTTCTGCTCTCACACTTGCGCTCACACCTTCACCCATATCCTCTCACTCCCAGAACCACACGTTCGAAGAAGACTATCCTGGCAAATACATCACTGAAACTAGCAATATCCGTTTGTTATCTTCCAAGATGACGGAAAGCTACCAGCACAGGCGAGGCGACTCGTTCCACGTGAACTGGACTGCGTTGGACATGCCTCGACTGGCGCGAGAGATCTACGATGAGACAATCGCCGATGTACACCTCTCGCTCTTCGGCTACTGGATCCGTGAGAGTACCGAGCACTATGAGATGGCGAGGAAGCACATTCGAGAGCTGGCACTTGACCAGGTGAGTCGCACGATGAATCAAAGCAATCAGCACTTGGACTAACAGCTTCGATAGGGATACAAGGTAGACCGGGTACGAAACGTGCAGCTGCGCAAGCTGCTTCAAGAAACGTTCTCGGCGCGCCCAAAAGTTCCAGGAACAGAAGACCTTGACGGCGAAGTGGACTGCGACGGCGACGTTATGCTCGACAAAACGCCCAGCAAAACAGACTCGCAATGGCTGAAAGAGACACTGCAGCATCTGGAAGGCCCCCCGAAGCGGGGACCTTTGTCGAAGAAAGAGCTCGACGAAATCCTGAGGCAACCTTCGCCAAGGACTCCCTCAAGCACAGCGAACGGCGCCAAACGCCGGAGTATATCCTCCCCTCTCATCGCGCGAACAGATCAACTACCTGGATCACTCCGCGCAAATCGGCGGCGGATTCTAGAGGAGGCAGCGAAGTCCACATTGTTGGGCCTGCCAGAGTCACCATCGGCTCGGTACCCGCCAAACAGTAAGTTGACCAAAGACGTTCACCTCAATGAAATTACTTACAAACATAGCACCGGATCGGCCTGAACCACTTTCGCTCAAGTCAGGCAGCTCTGGCTCTTTGAGCGTGGCTGGAACACCGACTACGAGACATGTCTCGAGCCCGCTCACCGCTTCTGCCTTGAAGTCGTTCAATCTGCTTGAGTCGTTGGACGACGTCCAAACCAACTTCGACGATGCCATTCGAAGAAGTGTATCGTCCCCACAATGTAAGTACAGATTTGCATCACCGTTGCCGGCTTCGCCTCTGCAGTCTCCCACGCTCGAGACGTACCAGATTATAGGCAAAGGGGATGGTGATATCTTTGGCACTGTTGCCAAGGGAAACGATCGGTCGGACATCGCGACCGATATCACGAACACATTTGAAAGTTCGCGTGGGCGCTTGAGTACGATATACGAAACACCAGGCGCTCACGTCAGCACTCGCCGTGCCCAAGCTGGTGTCAACCGTCTTTCCGACGCGGACTGGCAGACCGTGACCAGCAGTGAGCAACAGCACAGGCTGACCAAGATGTCGGAGGAAGAAACAAACGGTGCGAAGCTGCTCCGTACAGAGTACGAAGAGTTTCTTATTGATGCTGATGAAGATTCCCGCGGTGAATTCGGCCTCGACACTGAGGCGCCAACTGGCCAGTTTGCGCTTGACCCGGAAGACGAGTCGGATGACGAAGGCGGACCCCCATTGAATATCCCCTTCGACAGTCTATCATCATACGTTGGCTCTACTGAAGCCGGATCAGTCCTCGAAACAGCATCCAATGCCAGTGATGAGGATCCCAGCCGCAACAGCCTGATACAGTACTCGTATGCCTCGCCGACCAAACAGGGCATCACACAGCACAGTAATCACAGCAGCGTGGCTGTGAATTACTACCGCCCGCTGCCACTGCGCCACTATGATGCAAAGGAAGGAGACAACGGTGACGCCACATGCATTCACCCCGCTTTCCGAAAAGGCTACGGCGCGAAACACGCCCTCATACCTCCGCGCCCTCTTGTCTCTCAAACGCAACCTAGCTTGGGTTCTCCCTTCCTCGAATCCTTCCTGAAGCATGCACATGCACAGTCGGCAGACAGTGTACCTCCCACTCCTCCTTCCGGCACCAGAACCACATCCTCCACTCTCTATCCATCATCTGGGCCCAGGAGCACGAGCTCAACCGTAGGGCCACCACCACCGCTGCCCATCCGATCACCACTCCGCAGCACGCCAGGAGGGCGAAGAAACATCTCCGCCATCCAGACTCTGCAGAGGAGGCGTAGCAAGATTCCCGTCCCGAGCATTCGAGCAGCCTCGTCAACGGACGGCGAGAGCAGTACGTCGTCGCGATATCCCAGCTCAACGTCGATCTCTGCCGACGCTGATAACATCGCTGCCTGCACGACGACGACCGAAACATGCGTGGCGAAGCAGACCTCACCATCCCCTGCACCCAGCCTTCTGGCCCTTCACACCGCCATCTCCGCCTCACACATCAACACTCTTTTTTCGATGACCCACGCGCAGGCTGTCACGCTTCCCAGCGTCGATTTGACTACTTTGTCACACTTTGAACGCACGTGGCGGAAGGTGAACGAGGGGATCTTGTTGAGGGTTTTTGGTCGTGTGGATGTGGAGTTGGACTCTGAGGGCGTGGAGCTGGTGGAGGGGATTGGGGATTTGATTGGTGGATAGGGGAGGGGAGGGTGAATGAGGTAGCTGACCAAGAGAGGGAGAGTAGAGAAGAGGTGTAGGATCAAAGGGTAATGCAGGCAGCATGTAAGGGCTTTGTGTAGGGTGTAATGTAAATGATTTGAGGGACAAAGAGCTGAGATGACGATACTGGATAGAGTAATAGACTAGATAGTGTATCGACATCTCTTACCACCACAATATACCAGTCCTAACAAGTAAACCTTTGCATGACTGCTCTGTTTTAGCTTGACATCTAATTCACAATCACATTCCGCGACTTCTCCTGCTGATTGTCTATTGTAATATCTTTGACAAATTTTACCTTGACTTATGAACGACTCTCCCTAAAACGCGCCTTCTAGCCTAGACGTACCTACCCCTATACACTCTCTCACATACATAACTTTACCAAGCATACACCATACACCATACCCCAGAGCCTACATCTACCTGCCCCCTGGGATAGCATGGCATGGCAGGGCGTAATAAAAATAGACCTGCGTGTTAACCTCCATCTAAAACATGCCTTTTCAACATAAATGCCTGATTTGATCATCTTTTGTTCCAAACATGACTTGTGTCTCAAAAATCACCAACTGCCACGCCCAAACGTAAGCTCACGGATAACAGCAGAGCAAAATTGCCATGTTCAGTCAAAAGTAGGCCGCGCAAGTTCCGCATCGCTCATACGAAATGACATAAGAGAGTTGCGAGTATGTCTGTAGAAGTGCGGTCTTTGTTCCTGTAACCAAGCGAGTTTGTTGAATAAAGGAACGCTATCAACACCATATGCCATGCTCTATATGCCACCGACTAGAATGAAATAGACCGGGTATACACGCCCGACTCAACAACCTCGTTCTAATAATAAAAAAACTCCATGTCCTGGAGACAAGCAAAACCACATACCCAGCTTATCCCTTACCCAACCCCGTCAGCATCCTAACCCCCCAAGCCCACCACCCCTCTCTTTCCCCCAACACACCCTCCAACTCCCCAACCCTCCCCTCCACAAACTCAACCTGTCGTTCAAACTCGCCCAGGACATCTTCCACGTCCTCAACCTTGCTCCTCAGGGCCCCAATCTCGTATTCCAGTTTGTCCCCTATATTGCCCAATTCGCTCAGACTGGCGGTTAGCTGTGCGCGGTTGTTGGCGATGATGGCGTGGGTGTCTTCGCGTAGGGCGTGGTAGGTGTCGAGATGGGGATAGTAGATTGAATCCAGAGTTTCAATATCTGCGTCAGCGGAGGCTTCGAGGTCGGTGATTTGTTGTAGGCGCGAGAGGACCCATGAAGCGTCTGTGGTGGAGAGAGTGGCGAGACGATGGTGCAGCTGTTTGAGGTATTCAGAGTGGAGGGCTTGTGCTGCGTATTTAGCGGTAAGGGCTGTATCAGAGTTCGTTGGATCTAGTGAGGTGCCGTCTGGATCGGGAACGATGATGGGGTTCCATTTCAGTATGCTTTCTTCGGCGACACTGAAGGAGAGGTGGCGAGGCCACCAGTCGTCGTTGCGGATTGAGCCATGGTAGTCTAGGTGGTCGTCTGACATGGTGCGGCGGAGGAGGGGAGGGATTTCGTGAACTTGGTCGACCGGAAGGGTTTCATTCAGATCGATGCCATGGTAAACGGAGCCTGCAATGGAGCTGTCCACTGTTGGTGCACGATCTGATGCATCGCTTTCAGCAACAGAATTGCGCAATGTTGCCGAGTCTTGGCGGCCGTCAGGTTTTTGATGTATAGCCAACGCGCTCGCCGAATTGCTTGGCGTCTCGGTAAGAAGTTTTGAGAAGGTTGGGTCCGTCGAGCTTTGTGGTGAGAGGATGTGCAGAGCGTCATCAGGGCACTGAACCGTATTTTCGTAATGGTCCACAGACGTCTGGGTATCATTTGAGCCTGTGTATGGAGCAGACTTATTTTCCGTCTTTGTCTTGTGAAGCCCATGCCGGCCATGCTCTTCTCGCGAAACTCTGTTAACATGCGTGCGGAGACTGACGGCATTCTTGAGATGGCTGAATCCACTGCCAGACTTGGCCTTGATCGTGGCCCGCTTCGAGGAAGAGTCCTTGGAGTCATTTTTCTCAATACCCTCTGGTGTAATTAGTTCAGCTCGTTTCGGTTCCTCGTGGGCTGTATCTCGCTTCGTAAGCTTCGGTTGATCGGAGTTGTTCTCTCGACGTAGGCTCTTGATGATATGATCAGGCTTGTCCGGTGAGGGGGAGCGCTCTGCCTCCAACGGTCGGTCGAATATGTCACCCGAGGTAGACTTGCGCGGCTTTCCGTGCCACAGCCATTTCGCATGGTCTCCACGAACCAGCTCCACGAATTGATCGATATCGACTGTTTCGACCTCTGCAATGCCATCCTTCTGACCAGCTCCTACGATACCCATTACCATCTCTCCGCCCTTGCCACCTAATTCGGCCACCGTTGACTTGAAAGCGCGCGGAACAGCCCAGCCTTCTTTGCTAGCAGCTTTGGCAGAGGCCCTTCGCAGCTTGTCTAGTGTGTGTCTGTCTAGACGCCGTGTACGTGGAAGATGCTGTGACTTCTGGAAGTGGGCTATACCACGCTTCATGCTTTCGAGGTCGAAGACATCTTTTGAAACAGCCGCATTGCATGCGCTAAGTCGATTGCGTGCACCCATTAGCATACCGAGTAGAGCTGCGACTGTGGTAGGTCCAAGAATGCCATCATGGGGTTCCACGGTGTAGTACTCTGCTCCAAATTCGACCCACCAGTCGTTGATGGCCTTTTCTGTCAGGTCACACAGTAGTCCATCTGCATATTCTGGCTCCAATTTTCCAAATAGAACCAAAGCCACTTGACAAAGCTTGACAAGCTCAAGGACAGAAGCGTTGAATGGAATCTTCTCGCTCGTGCGATACAGCTGGTGGAACTTGGCTTGCGTTGCACTACTGGGCGGTGCGAGTTGGATACCTAGTCGACCGGAGCAACCCATTCTCTTCAGATTTTCATTCACAACAAAGGGCTCGCGATACTTTTTCACATCTCCGCCCGGCACTGGAATGACAGTCAAGGAGGACGGAAAGCCGCTCAGATTAGTAATCATCAGGGTTCCATAGGAAGTCTCTTTTCGACGTGCATGGAATTCATCTAGCGACTTGAAGTATAGGCGCATTTGGGGTGACCATTGTGACTCGTCGGCAGGCACGCTCAGGATAGTGGCCAGGACAACATCCTCGGGGTTGCCGGTATAGGTGGTAATCAGGAAGGTCGGATGTGTGCGCGAGCATGCCCACTGCTCTACCAGGTATATCTCGTAGCCCTCAATCTTCTGGCGGCGCGCTAGGACGGTGCACGTGGTAGTAGGGTCTTCTTCAATGTACCGAGCAGCCACAATGTCGGTCATGACAAACAGCTTGTGTTTGGTGTCTGTGGCAGACGATGTCATTCTCGCCTCGTCTGCCATCGTCTCTGGGGTGACGAAGGTGGAGGCTGACGGGGGCGGAGTGGGCTTGGGGTCGGTAGACGTCGTCTGCAACGGGGGCACTTGCCTGCGCAGCTCCTTCTCCGTCTTGGTGCGCACTGGCGATGACATGGGCATGGGGAAATCCATGGTGGCAAAAGGGCCCAAGGCTACCAGGAATTAGGCTTCCTGATGCCCTGTGTGTATGCGCGCTGTATTCGGATGAGAGCAAGCTCCTCACTCACTCTTCATCATGGAAAGGACAGGCCGAGTGAGCCGCCAGCATGCGCTCACAGCGCGGCGGCGAGCGGTCGGCGGCGGTGATGAGGGGGAGACGAGTAGAAAGGTCGGGGAGTGCAGGTTATGCATAGTTCTGGTGGACATGGGCCTTGAGCATCGTCCGAGGAGAATGAAGCAACAGGAGAAGGGGAGGGGAGGGATGAGGATAATTGTCGCACCGCAGAACTACGGCAAGGAACGAGTAGTACTGACACTGACTGGGTGCTGGTACCAAGCTTGCCATGTCCAACGTCATAACGCCCAGCTCGCCTTAACTTGCCTGCCTGCCTGCCTGCCTGCCTGCCCGCCCGCCGCGGCTAACTGTACCCCTGCAAGCCCGCCCCGCCCGCCCGCCGGTTGCAAACGTCACGCCAACAGCTTTGCCTTCTCTTCTCCCACCATACCATGGACACGACGAGAGCCTGCTGCTGGCCAGATACCGGCTCTGCCCTGCACACTGACGCCCCTCACTTGTCCAATACAATCACAGGCTGAATACCCACTATACATCCACCCTTTCACCCTTTCACCCTTCACCCGTCACCCGTCACCCGTCACCCGTCACCCGTCACCTTCCCCACCCACCGCCCGTCGCTCGTACGCCCTACAACGTCCACCCGCTACCGCTGCCGCTACCGCCTCCGTGATGGACGATCTTCGCGAGCAGGTGGAGCTTCTTGAAAGCAGCGCAAACCTCTCCACCAGCATAAACGATGTCCAGAAGGCGATTGACATGCTGAATGCAGCTCGTGCTAAAATCGCCGCTGGTGAGTCCTACTACAGTGACGGCATGGCCAACACTCGCTGACCCGCCCACGACCAGACCCCAAGACGGCGCCCTTGACCCTCGCAAAGCTCCAGGATCCCTTCAAAAAGACTCTGGACACGGCCCAGAAAGATCTCAAGCCTATATACGCTGGCCTCGGACGATATGGCAAGACCTTGGACAGAGTATGCTTGCTCAATCACCAACCCATCACAACTCGTGCAGCAACAACTGACGCAGAAACGTGCAGAAATTCAAAGACAAACCTCTCCCCTCCGCCGACAATGACGCTCTCTCATCACATCCCTCGCTCATCAACCGCGCCATCGCCATGCATCTCCTCCGCGAAGGCCAGTTCGACGTCGCGTCCACCTTTATGGAGGAGGCTGACCGCCGCCCGCCACGCCCTGAGCCTACCCTGAACACACCAAACCCGCATGTGCAAGACTCTTGGGAGAGAGACTTGGCCGAGGGTACTTTCAATTCGGAAAAGCTGCAGCAACAGTTCGCCGACATGTACCATATTTTACACGAGCTGCGGGTCCAGCGGAATCTCCAACCAGCAATACAGTGGGCGCGAGAACGGAGCGACGTGCTGGAATCTCGAGGCAGTAATCTTGAATTCAAGCTTTGCCGGTTGCAATTTGTGTGTCTCTTTGTCGGCCATAATCAAGACAGCAGCATGGAGGAGGCGCCTAATGGCCCCTTCGCAGCTTGTGAATATGCCCGCCGTGAATTCGGCCCCTTTCAAAAGCGGTATGCTCGCGACGTACAATCTCTCATGGGCGCCATGGCCTATTGGCAAAACATCCAAGACTCGCCCTACCGGCGCTACTTCCACAACGATTCCGCCTGGGAAGAGGTTGCCCAATCCTTCAACCGCGAATTCTGCTCCCTTCTTGGCCTGAGCGCCGACTCCCCCCTCTTCATCGCCGCGACGGCCGGTGCCATCGCGCTCCCCTACCTGCTCAAAATGCAATCCATCATGAAAGAGAAACGTACAGAATGGACGACGCAAAACGAACTACCCGTCGAAATCCCATTACCCAGCCAATACCACTTCCACTCCATCTTTGTCTGCCCTGTCAGCAAAGAACAAACCACCGACGCGAACCCCCCCATGATGATGCCCTGCGGCCACGTCATCGCCAAAGAGTCGCTCGAGAAGCTGTCCAAGGGTGGACGCTTCAAATGCCCCTACTGCCCCAGCGAAAGCCACCCCCGCGAAGCACGCAAAGTAGTATTGTAGGACTCCGCCAACCGCGTCTTCGCATTCGCAGTCTGGATTCTCCGCCAAACTCTCGCATCCGTGCACGCCTTGTACCTTCATGATGCCATGGTGCAACGGTATTCGCGTTTGGGCAGTACATATATCAACGTTTACCACTCTACTCTCCGGAAAACCTGCGCCATGTTTGACCAGGGCGGGCTGGTGTCGGATATGCGCATCTACGTTGCTTTTCGCTCAGTTGGATATGTCGATGTGTGGGCTGGGATTACGACGGACGCGAGGCTGTACCAGTTTCTCGATACGTGTAATTCCATTGATGTGGTGCACAGTGTGCTGTTTGCAGGTTCTGGGCCTGGATCAGGCTTGATTGTCGGGTTTGAAACGGAGGCGCGGATGGAGGGCTGGGGAGGGAGTGAGGGTGAAACCACTGGAGAAGCCGAATGGAGTACAGGTGAAACAACTGAAGGAACAGAAGAAAGTGATGGAAGTGAAGCAAGTGCATGATGTAGAGCATGAGTCTGGGAGATGTCGATTATGCCAACGGCGAGGATGATGTCGATGTTGAATACGCACAGGATAGCCTGGTTTGTCTGTACATGCATGTAGTATTCTTACGAAGAGTTAGCATGAGTATCACAAGCAGCGATTTTCCATTTTTTTCATCACGCTGACACACACGCACACACCAAAGAACCAAGCACAACAAACACACCTTACAAAATTATCTCATTCCGAGCGCTCAAGTCCAGCGCCATCTTCCCCAGTCTCCTTACATGATTCTATCTCCCAACACACACATCATCGTCCCCAACGCAATTTAGCCCCAAATCCCCCACACTCGCAGAAAATAAAAATAAAAAGCCCTGCAAGATGTACACTCCATCAAAACCCAAGAGGCAGAGTCATCAACCCCCCACCACCAAAAAAAAAAAAGGTGCACAAGCGCAAGAGAAAAAAGAACTAATTCAATCAAACCCTCAGTTCCTCACATACCATGCATAAAGACCCCTAATCCCCCCCGTCCCCGCCGACCTTTCCTTTATATGCCATCAAAAAAAAGAAAAAGTCCCAAACAAAACCAAAACGCCCCTAGAATATTTTCTTTTGCTGATTTCGATTCTGATCTGATAATGACGATGGAAGAAAAAAGTCTCCCAAAAGAGATGCATGTCTCAAATGAGACAGACACACAGCAAGCAAACAAACAAAAACGCCCCCGCAGATGTTACAGATGGATGATGCAGGTTATCTTTTCCCCCCTTCCATCGGCGGCGCACGTCGAACGGGGTTTTTCTCGTTTGGGGCTGTGTTGTACAATTTTGAGGCCAAGAAACAAGGAGAGAAAAAAGAAACCATGAATTGGGAAAAAGGGGGAAATATGGATTAAAAAAATTTATGCAGACAATGAAGATTTTTTTGTCTGGGCATATAGTATCTTCGCCAATCGTATAAAAGGGAGAGAGACAAAATGTCTCTAATGGAACAAGAGGGACGTGAGCCTAGTGAAAGGAACGTCCGTCGTGTGTATCCTCAAAAACCCATCTAACTTGACAAGACCAATCGCGCGGTATTTGGTTGTGTGTTTTCAAGGCATTCTTTGGATGAGAGTGGGCAGTCTGAAGGGCTGCTGCATTTCACCACAAGTCAGCCATCCGCGAAGCGAAGAAGAAAACTTTTTTATACAAAGCAAGGTGAGAACCTGTGCTTACATGAGAGCTCGACATCATACGTTCAAGTATGCTGCTGGATCTACTGCTTGGGAGAGCTGTCGGGATGTTAGTGTTTACTTTCAAAAAGGAGTGTCTCTACAACTATGACCAAGGGTGACTTACGTAGGCGAGTATGAGTTCGACGGACCCGGGGAGGTCGGCGAGTATCTCGGTGACGTGGGTGAGAACTGTCCAGCCGGGCTAGTTGGAGAGTAACGGGGGCTGGTTGGGCTGTATTGGGGTGACGTCGGAGAGGTTGGGGAACGTCTATCACCGCTTGCTTGGTATTGCGGACTCGTCGGACTGTACTGCGGCGAGGTGGGGCTGTACTGCGGGGATGTCGGGCTGTATGCTGGCGATGTGGCTCCACCGAACGAAGGCGATGTAGGGCTGTAGTTCGGTGACGATGGCGAGTACTGTGGAGAAGTAGGCGAATATCCAGCGGGTGACGTGGGCGAGTACGATGGAGATGTGGGAGAGCCGTAGCGTGGCGAAGTGGGGGAATAGTGTGGCGATGTAGGTGAAGCCATGTATCCAGGGGACGTGGCTGCGAATTGCGGGCTGCTGATGCCTGGTGAAGTAGGCGAGTAAGCAGGTGATGTCGGAGAGAAGCCTGGTGAGACGGGGCTGGTGCCTGAAAAGCCAGGAGACATGGTCGCGAATCCCGGGCTGCGACCTCCCGAATAAGGACTGAAGCCCCCATCACCATAACCGCCTCCGTACGCCGTGAAACCACCATCGTCAGCACCACCAGCAGCAGCGAGAGGAGAGAATTGAGCTTCATAAGATCCCATACCCATGCCTCCTTCGTATGTTGGTGAGCCCAAGTCGTAAGGAGTCGCTGCACCACCGTCGAGGTAGTTACCACCAGCGGCGGTACCACCCATCATCTTGGAGTTGTCCTCGACCATGGTGAGCAGCATAGCATTGTCCATAACGATGTCGAATTCTCCCGTGCCCATGGGCGCCAGCTGACCCAGCATGATGTTCTCAGAGATACCACGGCAGTCATCCAGTTCACCGTGACCTGCAGCTTCAAGCAAGATCTCAACGGTCTCTTCGAACGAACAGCGCATGAGTGCTCCTGTATCGTTGCGATTGATGCCATGACGTGTGATTGCCATGAGAACACCGCGTTGAGTCATGATGTCGACAAGCAGAGCCATGTGACGATGGTTGACATAGGATCCGTCAAACGACAACACCATACCCAGTTCTTTCAAAAGACCAGCACGAGCAGCTTCAATTCCGAGTACGGCAAGGACTTCGATAAAGGAGTTGGAGTACGTCTTAGTAGCGTCAACGCCTTCAATAGGAAGAACCTTGGCCAGAGCGGTTCCGGTAGTGTCGAGAATCCACTCTTTGCAACGATCGTCACTCTTGGAATGGAGAATGGCGCCGTCTTCCGTCTCGACTGTTCTAGCATCCTCTCGGATGAAGGCACGCTCTATGCCACGGACTCCTCGGAGAGCTACATCGTCGAGAAGATGTTTCTCTAGCTTGCGCATCCAGCGTTCGTCGCGCTCTTCGATGTCCTCTTCGTCCTGCTTCAGATTTGCATCCCATATAAAGCGGACACGCAATACCAATTCCTCCGCGTTGTTGTCCGAATAGGTAACAGCTAGATTAGGCGAGAATTCTTCCTTGATCTTGGCGGCAACATCGGTAACGTTCAGAAGTCTGTCCAGCAGCTTCTTACGGTCAAGAATGATACGAAGAAGCCACTTGGACTGCGATTCAAGATCATCTTCGGGCATAATATTGAATGCATCGACGATGTCCTGATCTTCTTCGACGACGGTGACATTGACATCTGGGTCGTAGTACAATTCGACAGATGCAGTAAGAGCACGCAAGGTTGTGAGTTCGATAGCACTGCGCAGTGCCATGGCATCCTCCAAAGTAGCACTCTTGTTTTCCTGCCTGACGATCAAGGACGGAGTCTTGATGTTGGCTGCGATATTGAGAATCTCCTTTAGACGCGGCACACCAAGGGTGACGTTCTTTGACGAAACACCGGCAAAGTGGAAAGTGTTCAGTGTCATCTGGGTGGCAGGCTCACCAATCGACTGCGCTGCAAGGACACCAACCATTTCACCGGGAGCTACGGCGGCTTTGAGGAAACGATCTTCCAGCTCACCCAAAACATAATCCAATGCTTCTCTGCTCATGCGCTCTTGCTGAACCAGAAGTTTAAATGCAAGACGCGATCGCAGGTGACACTTGAAAAGATGGGTTACGCTATCCTGTGCCTCTCGTGAGAGCGGATCATTGCCACGGATCACAACAAGACTGTCCAAAAGTTTGCGCACTTTCTCAATCGTCTCAATGGGATGCAAATTGCTCACCGACTGTCGTGTCTTGATCTTGAACCTTGCTTGTGCGGATTTGATTATGCGATCAATGTTGAGCGGCAATTGGAATTTGTCGCTTGCGTCAGCAGCAAGCATGGTGCGTAGAAATTCACGGTCTTTGGTGATCTGCGCAAACTCCTCGTCGAGATATCGTTGGGCATCCACGTCGCCTTGAAATTGTGTAGCCCCTTCCCACTTCGTAACGGGGATCATAGGCTTGTCGGTCGACACGAGGTCCAGTTTGTATGTCGTCTCAAACTTCGCCCAAGAAGACTTGATCGATCCAATGCTTTGCTCTTCGATATGACCGCCATCAAGACCGTCCTCTCCGTAGATGAACTCAACAATGTCTCCCATGGAATTACGGACGGTGCCGTCGTACTTGACCATGACATCTTCCAATGCCTTGACGAGTCGACGCTGAATATATCCAGTCTCGGCAGTCTTGACCGCGGTGTCAATGAGACCTTCACGACCAGCCATAGCGTGGAAGAAGAATTCAGATGGTGTCAAACCGCGCAGATATGAATTCTCAACAAAGCCACGAGACTGCGGTGAGTAATCGTCTTTGGTGAAATGTGGCAAAGTCCTGTATTTGAAACCGTAAGGAATACGCTGACCCTCGACAGCCTGCTGACCGACAAGGGCAACCATTTGAGAGATGTTGACTGTGGAACCTTTCGATCCGGAAACAACGGTCTGGACGACGTTGTTGAAATCCTTGAGACTGTTTTGTGCTGCGGTTCCTCCCCCTTCACGGCCCTCATTGAGGAACTTTTGCACCTTGGACTCGAAGGTACCACGAATGGTCATACCAGGTAGAGGCTCAAGCTCGTTTTTGGTGGCCTTGACAATAACCTCCTCGACATCTTTCTTTGACTTCTGAATCGCCTCAGCAATCGCGGCCGCCGTGGCAGGGTCGGGAATGGTATCTCCAACTCCGAAACTGAAACCGTGGTACAAAAGCCACCAGTTTACAACGCGCTGGCAAGCATTGAAGAATTTCACTGCAGCATCAGAGCTGATTTCATTGAAGATGATGTGAATGATACCACCAGCTGTGGCACCCACAATCTTCTTGGTTACAGCTCCCAAAATCAACTCACCACCCATGATCAACAAGCTCTTGTCATTGAGATCGTTGTATGGTTCTGGCTTGGAATCACCATCTGCACGCACAATGTTGACTTCTTTCGCAATCGTCATGCTGATAATCTGTTTGCCGCTCCAAAGTGGCCGAGGCTTGAGGATGGCAGGCTCGGGAACAATACCGTCCCAGTCAGGTACCCACATGAGAATGTTCATGACTTGTTCCAGTGGCAGAAAGTTGTCACGACGGCTCATCTTGTAAACTCCTAGAAGGGTGTCCTGCACAATACCCATAAGCGGCTGGTTCTTTTGCGGTGACACAATCTGCTTGGGGACCATGCACAAATTCTGCACTTCGGCACGGGTCTCATCACTCTGGGGAACGTGGAGATTCATCTCGTCACCGTCGAAATCGGCGTTATAGGGAGATGTGACAGAGAGATTGAGGCGAAAGGTAGAGTAAGGCATCACCTTGACTCGGTGACCCATCATGGATTCCTTGTGAAGTGACGGTTGCCGATTAAAGATGATTACATCGTCGTCGTCAATGTGGCGTTCGACTTTCCAGCCATATTGTAACCGCAGGTCATCAAGATTCTTGTTGTGCTTCAGATCGAGACGTACGCCATCGGCCTTGATGACATAATTGGCACCAGGATGTTGGTTGGGCCCATTGCGAACCAGGGCAGTGAGTTTGCTGATGTTGAACTTTGTAACCACCTCGGGGTAGGTGAGAGTTCGTGCGATTGAGCGCGGTACACCCACTTGGTCAAGCGATAAATTTGGATCACCAGTAATGACGGTACGTGCAGAAAAGTCGACACGCTTGCCCATCAAGTTACCACGTAGACGGCCCTCCTTGCCCTTCAAGCGGCCTCGGATTGTCTTCAAAGGTCGACCGGACTTTTGCATGGCCTGTGGAACACCATTGGCGTCGTTGTCCATGTAAGTAGCGACGTGGTATTGGACGAGAGCTTCAAACTCGTTCAGGACGTGCTGTGGCGATCCCTCTTGTATACACTCCTGTACACGCCCATTGGCACGGATGATATCGCCGAGCTTGTAAGTCAAATCGTCCTCTCCGCGCATGCCCTGACCAGTGCCATCGACCGAGATACTAGGACGGACCGGGGGTGGTGGAACTGGCAAAACGGTAAGAATCATCCATTCCGGACGGGCGTAGTCAGCGTTGAGTCCTAACAGCTGAAGAGTGTTGTCGGATAGGAGCTTGAAGATGTTGAGGGCAAGCTGCGGAGTAATCGGCTCCTTGCGGTCACCGGTGCCATCGTCTTCGTCCTTCTTCTTGCTCTTGTAGGTAGCTGTGAGCTTTAGGCCCTCCTTGCGAATGGCATCGGGTGCGTCACTACCACAACCGCCGTGAGGAATCTTGGGTGCCTTCTTAGGATCATCATCTTCTGCAGTCTGCTCGCATCTTGTTCGAATCTTGGACAGGCGCCAGATCTTCTCGAAACGCTTCTTTGCGTCCTTGGTCTTGATAGCCGCTTGCCATTCTGGGCGGTTCTGAGGTTGGAGTCAGCACACTGATGAAATGATGAAAAATTCCTTGATCTGGACACGTCTTCTTCACCCAGGAAGACTTACGAAGTCAGCCAGGATTAGCCCACAGTTGTGGCAGACGGTCTCAAGGATCTTCTTGATCTTGATGACGAATCCTGCAGCGGGTCAGTGGGTGAAACCAAAAGTGTTGCCAATTTCGCGTCATGTGCACTCACCAACATGGAAGACGGGCGTGGCCAGCTCAATGTGACCAAAGTGACCGGGACAGACTTGGATGTCTTCCTTGCAGGTCGCGCACGAGTACATGCGGTCGATGGTGCCGAGCCTGGGGTCGTTGAGGCCCTGATCGCGCGGCTTCTGCTTCTGCTCGTCCATGGTCTCTGGGTAGATGATGTGGACGACGCTCATGGCCTTGATCTCCTCGGGCGAGAGCAGGCCAAACTGAATCTCCTTGATGGTCCGGAGGCTGCATTTCGACACTGCTGGCGCACCGGGCGGCATGGTGGCGGTTTGGGAGATTACTGGCGACTGTGGAGGATGGAGAAGAAGAAGAAGAAGAAGAAGCGCTTGTGGGCGTCACCGGTCGTGGTGAAGGCGGGGGCGCTGTAGGTAGCCGCGGTGGCCACTACGGGCACGGGGGACCGCGTCTTTTTAGGTGAGATGATTAGACAGCCAGTGGTAGCTATGTCGCGTGCTTGCTGTGGCCGGTCGAGGCGTCGAATACTGCGCGCTGCGCGTGCGTGCTGGAAGAGATGTGGGTGAAGAATGGGCGGCGTCGAAGCAGGAAGAGAAGCTGGACGCTGTCGGAGGTGCTGCTGGAGGTCTTGGCGCGCCGGGCGGCGGGAAAAGCCTGCGCGCGCGCAAACTTCGGCTGGTTCCAAGAGGGCGCAGACGAGATGCTGTGGGGAGAAGACGCGCTCGCAGATTTCAGCAGAAGGGTCGGGTGTGATGGGCGAAGGGGGGAGGCGATGCATCCCTCCCCTTCCATCCCTCCCCTTCCATCCCTCCCCAAATGCTCTCTCTCTCTCTCTCTCTCTCTCTCTCTATTACTTAATACCACCATACCATAGTGCAGCAACTAACAACAACCCCCTCAATATCCAGGCAGCGGTCATTCCACCTCGATTCGCTTCAGCCACCGCGGCGACCTGCTCGCGTCTGGAAGGGTACGCGCCCCCAACACGTCGTCACATGTCACACCCAGCCAGACCACTGACGTCCTCCTGTCTCTCTAGCACGACGGTATTGTCGTCGTCTTCGACATTGAAACCTATGGAGTCGCCCGCAAACTGCGCGGCCACACCCGCCAGGTCCAGTCTCTCAGCTGGTCCACCAACGACCGCTACCTCCTCAGCGCGGGGCAGGACTGGAAGGTGGTGCTTTGGGACCTCAAGGATGGCTCACGAGTGCGCACCGTCCGCTTCGAGGCGGCCATTTTCATAGCGGAGCTACATCCAAATAATCAGTCCGTCATACCCTCTCGCCCCAGTTTTATATTGCATGCAGTCTAACATGAACACAGTATGCTCTTCGTCGCTGCCCTCTTCGAAGACCAGCCCGTCATCGTCGACATCTCCGGCGAAATCCCCGTCAAACACTCCATCTCCTCAGCACCTCGTCGCTCACAGCTCGAGCGCGAGAATGCTACAGAAAAGCAGACGGCCCAGGACGCGAAGCAGACCACCACCATGACCCTCTTCACCCCCTCGGGCCATTTCATCATAGCAGGCACCAACAAGGGCTGGCTCAACATCATCGACACCGCCACCCACCAAGTCCGCTACTCGTTCCGCGTCACCAACAACATCATCGTCTACATTCGCATGACACCCTCTGGGAGAGACGTCGTCATCAACTCGAGTGATCGTATAGTGAGAACACTCCATTTGCCCGACCTCAGCGACCCCAATTTCGACTTTGACACCCTCCAACTCGAAGTCGAACACAAGTTCCAAGATTTGGTACAGCGACTCTCATGGAATCATGTCTCTTTTAGCCCGACGGGTGAATACGTCACAGCATCGACCTGGATGAACCACCACATCTACGTGTGGGAGCGTGCCCAGGGCAGTCTCGTCAAGATTCTCGAAGGCACCAAGGAGGAGCTATCAGTCGTAGAAGTAAGGCAATCTCCTCTTTCCCCATCACTCATGCATACTAACAATCCCAGTGGCATCCTTTCCGCCCCTTCGTCGCCGCCGTCGGCGTAGACTCGGGCCGCGTCTGGCTCTGGTCCATTCTCCAGCCCCAGCGCTGGTCCGCGCTAGCCCCCGACTTCCTCGAAGTAGAAGAAAACGTCGAATACATTGAGCGCGAAGACGAATTCGACATCCAGCCGCTCGAAGAACTCCACAAGCGACGCCTCAATCAGGAAGACGAGGAAGTCGACGTCCTCACCATTGAACCCGTCAAGGCGTCGTCCGCCATCGAGTTCGCACCCACATCCCATGACGAAGAAGCAGAGTTTCGAATGCCAGTGATTTTGGATATCGAGGCGAGCGATAGTGAGGACGAGGTGGTTGCCGTGGGCGCCGGCCAATTTAGACGCAGGAGCCCGGGCGCAGGCAGGGAGTGGATGAATGATGATGTTCCTCTGAGTGGGGACGAGGCGCGCAGAGCAAATGGCACGCCGGCGGCGAATGGCGCCAAGAGAAGGAGAGCGGGCTAAAGAGGCGGTTCTCTGCTCCCATGTACATGCTGTACCGTGTGCCGTAATGCATGTCTTGGGGTTTTCTGGTAACTGGAGCGTAGCCCAGTGCGCCCTTGATCTATCGCACATTTCACAGACATGACTACAATACCCAAGCATTTCCAGATTTCCTTTTTCACCCACCCACATGATGGAATCTGGATGACTAAGGAGAAAGACTTTTGAGAATTCAAAAACGAGGAATTCATTTATAAGTCTCGTCTCCCAAAATCCTTGCAACGCACGTGTCCAACCTCCAATGTCATGGGCATATGGGGGGGAAATAACGAGATTGAAGGGATGGGTAGGGTTGGGGAAGAAATGGGACTAAGACTTGGACGGGTTGTGGATGACTAGGAAGGGAGGGGCGGATGCAGTGGATGAGGCGGTATGGGTGTTATTTTTGACATTCAGCGAGGAAGACGTGTAATTTCCATACTCCACTGTCTACAGTATGATTGCATGACGTGTTCATTCTACCACACAGAGGGTATGAGATGTAGGATTGGGAATACGATATGATGTAATGTATTGTATACTATACTATACCACCGCACACGACACTAACCAGGGGTATCACGACACCATGTATATTCACCATTTAGACCCTTTCCTCTGGCCAGACTTTCTCATTTCCCACCCGCAACACGCCGCCTATGCTCTTCTTCGAGTAAACTCTGCTTCCGGACATACTCCATGACGATGTCCTCTTCTGTCCTCTGCTGGTGCAGAGCCTCTAGCCGGTCTTTTTCTGCCTTTTCGCTCTCCTCGAGCACCTTTTTCATCTCCTCGTCTTCGTCATATGTGATGCCGGTTTGCTGGGCGTGTGCAGGGCCATTTCCACTTGCAGCTGCATTTCCGCTCTCTTGGTTTGCGCCAATGGCAGCACTCATGGCATCCATGACCCCCGTCTCCATACCCGCTCCCGTCATCGTCCCAGAGTGATCCTGCGACTGTGTTGAGTGGAGATGAGCTAGCTCTTTCGACTCGGCAATGATACGCTGGTACACCTCTTCCTCGTCTGTATCCTCGTCTTCATCCCACTCCAAATCAACACCAGCCTGTGGCGTCACACTCGACTCGAGCAGACTCTTCCTCAGCGTTTCTTCCAACGCAACTTGTTCCTCGGCTGTCATGTCCTTTTTCCCAGCATCGGCTATTGAAGCCGCAATTGCGCGTTTCAACGCCGCTTCCTCGTCAGATTCACTCGTACCAACGGGCGTACGCTCAAGCTCAGCGATAGAGGCGCGTATCGCAGACGCCATGAGTTCATCTTCCTCGGGATTGCCACGCGAGGCTTCGGCAACGGAAGCGGCAATTGCCTTTTCCAATTCGCGTTGTTCAGCTTCTTCTTCCTCAGCAGTGAGCTGGGTTTCCACGGAGAATGCGGACTGCGAGGCTTGGCTTTGCCCTGTGGCATCAGTATTTTGTCTACGAAGTGAACGTGCACGTTCAGCTTCTTGTTGGCGCCAGCTGGGGATCGTAGAGCGGATTTCGGGCTCTGTCTCATTGTGCGGACGGGTGGGCTCGTGGTAGCTGCCTGGTGCGCTCATGTCGGGTGGGAAAGAAGGGCGGGATTCCGGCTTCTTGAAGGCAGAGTTTACGCCTTCCCAGCGGTCGGTTCTCCGCTTGCGTTTTTCTTCGACAAGGGAATGGAGAGAGTCTATTTGTTCGGCGCCAGGATTACGCTTCTTTTTGATGCTCACCTTGACGTGTTTCCATCTATTGACGACGTCGTCTCGTTCCTTTTGAGTAATGGATGATGCTTCGTCATAGCCTTGGGCAATGCGTGCAGCAATGATATAATTCTGTACACTTTTGCCTTTGCTCTTCACCATCTCCTGATAGAGGCCTTTCATTGCGTATCCGGGAACTGACCAAGCACCTCCTAAGACGCGGAATGGGACGTTCATTACTCCACGACCAACTCCTTTCACGAAGCCAATGCCACCTTCCTTCTTTGCACCTTTGTAAGGATCAGTCACTATACCAGTAATGCCATCATAAAGCCCAAAGCCAAATTCCTTTGAACCCATTAGCACCATTCACTTGGTTCTCGATGTTCCACTCACTTTAGCAGCTGTCCGGAGTCCACTCTGAAGGTCAGTTACTTTGTCGACTTGTCGAACTTCAGCGCCATATAGTTTAGGAACATTGTGGAAGCCCTTTGCAACACCCAAAGAAAAGTCCATTGGTGATTTGAACCCAGCGCCAACGATCCTTGCTAGACCTTTGCCAGTGTCCACGGCGGACTCCATGCTCTCTGCAAGACCTGGTTGCCGTGCGCTTTTCGCTTGCTTATCAGTAGGAGAAGGCTTCCCTGTACCAGATATCGAGCTTCCACGACGACTACCGACAAGAGGAAGGTCTGGAATAAGCTGTCGTACACGCTCTCGTGACGGCGAACGAGAACCACCCGTCGAGTCTGCAAATGCCTGAGACATATACGTAGATCTATGTGTTGACGTTTCTGGAGTGCGTATACTTCCGAGTGGAAGAGTATCAGAATTTGTCTGCGTCAAGTCATTGGGGGAAGGGCCACGTTCCAAAGGCATATCAGCATCGCCTGGCGTCTTGTCACCAGTGGCCTTCTCTTTGCCCTTCTTCGATCTGGAGTCAGGATGAATGTTGAGCAACTTTAGTGTTTGGATAGGCATATCAGCTACACCCATCATGAATGAAGTTGCTGTACCCATTAAAGCGCCTGCCGCACCGGACACTGGGTCCAATGGCCCCTCATCTGGCACATATTCGCGAGCGCGATAACTATTTTTTATCAGTTAAAATTGAATGCGGTTCATTGATTTCACATACAGTTTTAGATCTGAGAAGCTAACTTCACCTTGTTGTGCAAGTATTGTCGCAGCTTTAGCACTCAACTTGGTCTGAGTACGCTTTACTCTCCAAACCGCTGGCTTGTTAGGCATGACTGCACAGCGTATCTCGTCGTAATTGAGCATCTGATGGAATGACTGTGCTCCCTTTTGTGTACCGTTCTCTTGCTCAATCTTCGCGCGCAGCTCTTGTGCTCTTTCGAGTGATTCAGGTTTTAAAGCTTCGTTGATGGCGGTAGCAAGTTTCTCCGCCGTCAAATCCTTGTATGGCATTGGATCCGGTCCAGCACCAGCCCTTGAAACCATTGCTCCCCAGAAAGCTTGATCTCCGAAAAAAGGTACAACGACTGTTGGTCTTCCAGCGGCAATACCGGCCGCTGTAGTACCAGCTCCGCCGTGATGCACAACAGCAGAAACATGCTTGAACAACCAGTCATGAGGGCAGTTACCCAGCATAAAGACACCATCGGGCTTTCCAAGGTCATCGGCACCTAAGCCACCCCAGCCCTTGGAGACTAGCGCACGCCTTCCCGTGATCTTGACAGCATCAAAAATCAATTTGGTCATCGCATTGGGATCGTCTACTACGATAGATCCAAATCCGATATATACGGGCGGCTCACCTGCAGCAAGGAATTCCACAAGATCTGGTTCGGGGGTGTAGTTGGAGGCGAGGTTGAGGAAATAGAATCCAGCAATTGAGATGTGGTGATTCCAATCCCTAGGCTTGGGTATGAGAGCTGGCGACCTTTATTGTGTAAGCCGTGGTCCCCTTTCATCATCGATCGCACTTACCAGCAGTAGGTGAATGGTATCCTCAGGCGCGCAAGTATAGCTGGTCCCCAGATGGTACTGATTGGATCCAAGTGCAAGCTATCTTTGCGGAACTTGTTGATGACGTCTCCCAGACCTTGCCAGGTTAGCACATCGACCAGGATGTAGGATATGTAATTCGTGATTGTTGGGTCTGCATTTGACGACTGGATGTTGGCAAGCGGGTGCGGGAACTGTTGGGTGGGAGACCATGGCATACCGCAAAACTGTCAGCATGTTGTAACTCTGTTTGAGTGGTGGCAACTTACGTGAACATCATGTGCAGTGGAATACCCAACTTTTCGGCGCAGTGAATGTGTCCAAAAGCCGGGGGATTCGCAATGATGGCATCAGCGACGAACGGTTTCTTGAGCTGCTCTGGGAGTTGATCCTCGACGCCCATCCACTCTTCCACCGTCTGCTTGAGGGGATCCACACCTAGGCCATTACCAGTTTCGATGCATGATCTCCACGTCCCGCGCAGAATTTCTGCAATCCCTTTCCTCCTCTTACCAACATCACCACTGCGCAGAACGTCGAAACCAGGCATCAACCCAGGGTTTTTGACCATGAAGGCCATGACTGCAGAGGTTAGCATGCTACTCAGGATCTTTTCAAGTCACAAAGGACTCACGTTCAGCAGGATCACCGCCGATGCTAAAGAACTCCAAGCCATTCTCAATGACAAAGTCTTTGAAGGTTGGATGTGTCGCTAATCGCACTCGATGGCCGTAGGTATCCTTGAGCACCCTGCCTAGCGCGACAAAAGGCTGCACATCTCCCCTTGACCCCACGACTTGAATAACGATATTCAATGGAGGCGGCGGTTCTTGGCCTGGCGCACCCCCCAGGAATTCAGGTACAAAGGCAGGCGGCGGTGCAGGATCTTCTCGAGATTGGGTAAGTTGGCGCTGTAATTGTGGAAGAATCAGCTGTGACAGCGCACGGCTCTTCTGGTCGATACGAATGTTAACACGGCCATCTTCAGCGACTATTGCGTTGGTTCCTAGTCCTTCGTTGTCAATCTGGCCGGGTAGCTCCGTGTAGGCGGGTGGAGGCTGGTCTGGATTCGCTGGCTCGCTATCGTGGGGAATGTTTGCATCGAAGTGGTAACCAGCCTCTAGGGGTGTGCTGAGAGGACTTTAGTACTGGAATGACGTTAAGAGAGAGAGAGACGCTTACGAGTCTTGTCCTGGGACATCGGAGGGTCGGGAGGAGCCAACATAGTTTGATCCCTCTGGTACTGAGCCCTGTGGTGCGAACGAAGTGTCGCCATATTGTTCTGACCCTGACTGCGGTGCGTTGCTGCCAGTAGTGTTTGTGGACCGGGCTACTTGCTCGACCGCCTGTTCATATCCTGGGAGTTGCTCTGTAGGTGGGAAATCATCGCGAGGCGCCTCATTGCCCGTAGGGTACTTCGAGCTAGACATTGTGTTTGTGGATATGTTCGAGAATTAGGGTATCATAGGAACATGGTGAGAGCAGCCAGCTTCGATTTGAAGCTCGGAGGCTGTCAATGTATAGTAGACTACCGTACAAGCCGCTACAAGGGAAACAGGAACTTATAGGTCGTTAACCCCACATGGAGGCTCACCAGGGTTCATGGGCGTTATGACACGGCCTTGCGGCGTCTCTGTGTCGTGATTGGTCAACAACGCCAGGCGTCGTCATACCTAGCTTGCACAGCCTCTTGGGCAAATGCACTTCAGCAGGCTTCTGACAGCAAACTATCATTTTCTTGTCGTGTAAGACACTACTCTAGGGGGGAGTATGGATTTGGAGCCCGAACAGGAGCGGTCGTGAATGGGAAATGGCATTTACTTCATCGTCCACAATTCACACAACCCGAAGCCAGAATGAATTCCATCTAGTACCTATCATTCACAAGAACGCTGAGCTGTTTTGGCCGAGTGCGACATGAAGCGGTACCGGCACCCTGACGACGACCCAGTTATCATTCGCTCTTACTACAACACTGCCAAAGACAGACAGGATATTCCATTTCGAGAGCTGCCATCTCCTGCCAACTTCATAGACGCTGACATGCCAGACTACAACCATTGACAATCGTTACCAAAGGTGCGGCCATACAGTGACACCACCCCAGGATCGAAGAGAAGCCGCATCTGGTGAAGTCGTTGGCGCAGTCCCACTGGTATGATCTCGTGTCTCTTCCGCCACCTCCCTGTCCTCCTCTGTAGGCCTTCTGAAGGTCGCTGACTTCTCCAGAGAGTGTTGGATCAAACGTGTAGGTTGTTCTTGTTGATTCGTTGCTCTTCCGTCCACTAGTCGAGTGTTCATCTGCGCTATCGCTTTCTTGTCCTCCACAATTTGTTGAGGTATCAGGAGGCGTTTGACTGCGTGGCAGGTATGCGTGGCATTATTTGGCGATATGGAAGAAATGAGTGATCGTCGAGAGGCAGGCAATGCTCGTTTGGCGCACAAGCGAAACGTCTGGCGTGGAAACCTGAGCATTGCAGATTGCGGTCGTAAGAATTCCAATGAGGATGAGAATTTGCAGATTAAGATTGAAGTAGGTTTCGAACAATTGGGTGGCTTGGGTGCGGGTGTTGTGGTAAGGGACAAGCCATATGGGTAGGTGTTGAAGAGTTGGGTTGGAGCTCACAAACGAAGGAAACAACCTCCTAATCATTTTCAAGTTTTTGACTCAGTATGAGGAAGGCGCAAAGTAGGATGTGGCCAGTGTAGCGTCTGCCACCTTAGTAGATCCCTCTAACCTCCCGCTCAACTGAATATCCAGCATTCACCTCCACCACTACGACAAACGCACTCATCACCAACCACCGCAGCATCAATCAGCCACACAAACCACCGTATTTGCTCATTTCTTCAGGTAATAGATATCTCGCCGGTGTAATACTGGAGCTTGAGCATCCTTCATCGAAGCACTACCATCACAGGTTGGTGTCCTTGGGTCCTTCTAGATCCAGTCTTCTAAAGGCCCTAGATTCGATCCATGGGAAGGGCAAATCTACAAAATTCCATAAGGGAGAGGTTGCAACCGGAACGCGAGTGGTAACCATCGTACGGGGCGTGGTGGGGCCAGTATCACGACCTTCGGGCCGTGCCTTGAATTTTTTGCCTTTTTGAGAGAAAGGAATGACTTTAAGTAAAATGTTTGATGGTTTATGATAATCTTAGAGCCTGTAATTTATTTATTTTGGTCATGGAGCTTGATAATTTCAAGAGCAATACGCGGGAAATATCTCTAGATATAGTCAGAGTACAGTGGCCTAATAGCACTCTACAGTAAAGGGTAATTGAAGTTCTTATGCAGTTCGAAGATATCCAGATAAATAGGCTGAAATTATATTATTCTTGTACCTCTAGTCCTACACTTGACTTATGGCGATCACCTACCTATTGACGGCTATGGCCTATGGCATGTTTAAAGTCAAATATCAATGACGTAAGATTTGAGGATGGACCACGCGCGCCTTGCTACTCAATCGTCGCATAAAAACAGCATCTATGACACCAAAACTTGTATAATTTACAACAAAAAACTCACAGTCAGGCCTGCATATACCGGGAGCTAAGAGTCCATGTTTGAGACGAACCAGGAAGAAGACCATTAGTGTCGTAAGTAGGCAGTCTACATCGCATGAGGAATTGGGGATCCAGGTGTTTGTAATTCAGCAAGTCCCAGATAATAGTAACTCACCGTTTTAATGTTCCTAAGTTGGAGATGGGTAGTTCCATGTCAAATGCTGCGTCGTCCAACGGATTATTGGCGTGATGCCGCCAGTGTGCATCCCTGCAAAGCGACGGGCTAACCTATCTAGACCCTGACCCTGACCCCGGCGCGTTGTTTCCCAACGTCATGCGTCGATGATCAAGCTTGTCTTGTCACCTTGCATTCAGCTACACGGATGCCTAGAACGAACGATAAACGAGCGGCATATTGCCCTGTCGACACTCCATCTGGAACGGACTGGCCCGAGACTGTCCTGACGCTAAAGCTCGCTTCTCCACCTTCCAGCTGCGAGCTGATAGCCGCAAGTCTAGAGCACAACAAGGCCTTATAAAGACCCCATGCCACTTGCCAAAGCGCTCTCGACTAGCACGGCACCTCCTTTGTTCTGTCAAGACAGCATACAATATGTTGACGAGCTCATTACTACTTAGCTGTGGCTTGCTAGCCTCAGTAGCAGCATGGAACACCGATGGTGCGTGCACAGCCGTCCTGCCAACAAGGATACACAGCTGACTCGCCATAGTCCATAATCAAATCGGCTTCATGGCCGAACAGTTCCTCGAGCCAGAGACCACCGCCGTGCTGGCAGAACTCCTCGAACCCGAATACAACGGTTCCGTCGGTCGCGCAGCAGCATGGGCCGACGCTTACGCTCACACAGCCGAGGGCCACTTCTCCTACCAATGGCACTGGATCGACACTCACGACAACGCACCAGAGTACTGCCATCTAGACTACGAGAAGGACTGCGCAAAGGGCGGATGTGTAGTCAGTGCTATTGCGAACCAGACGGGCATACTGCGCGAGTGTATCCAGGACTTGACGAGTGGAGCTGTAAGCGGAGGGAGCAATTTGACTTGCTCGTATGCACTAAAATGGGTGGCGCATTTCTTTGGAGATATTCACCAGCCGCTTCATGCTAATGGGCGGGCGGTTGGCGGAAACACGTACACGGTGATTTTCGCGAATGTGACAACGCAACTGCATGCGGTAGGTGAAGGCGCCTCTCCTATCTACAGTAAATTGATGAGAACAGGTCTGGGATCACTATATCCCATATTTCGCTGCCAGCGTCAGTGAGCCCTTCTCGAACCAATCCATCGATCCATTCTTCAGCGGGCTTGTATCTCGCATCCGCAAGGGCGATTTTCATTCTCTGCCTGCACTGTGGCTGGCGTGCAGTGACCCCTCTACTCCCGAAATCTGTGCAACTGCGTACGCCAAGGAGAGCAACAAGTGGGACTGTGATTATGTGTGGAAAAATGCGCGCAATGATACCGATCTGGGTACGAATGGGTACGCAAAAGGCGGTGTACCTATTGTCGAGTTGCAAATCAGCAAAGCTGCGTACAGATTGGGTGCATGGCTCAACAGGATGGTGCAGAGCAAGGGACATAGGTCTAAAACAGCGCAAGAAATCCTTGAGCTTTGATATCGCTATTATTGATTACAAAGGAGTAAAGGGTAATCGGCATCTGCTGTCAGGCCTCCTACAGCTTCAATGCCTCTTCCAGGATGGCGTCTGTGTTCTTCTGCACCTCGGCCCCTAGCACCCTCTCCTGTACAAGAACAAATGCCCTTCTCCTCTTCTCTTCGCTGCTGTATCGCTCTTGTTCTTCGATGCCCAGATTCGCCCACCTCACTTCGATCATCCTCGCCAGACTGTCCGGTCGCGTCGGTAGCCCCAGCTGCTCTAGCGAGGCCTGTGTCCGCCCATCAACAAAAGGAAACGACTCTTCCCACTGCCATTGCATACGTCTGTAGAAAAGGTTCAGTCCCGTCTTACCGAGACCTTTGACGCTCCTACGCAAAACTTCGCGCTCCGCCTCCACCGAGCTCTTACTCAACTTTCGCAGCTTGCTGAGATCGTTGTGCCAGTTGTTATTTGAGATGGCCTCGGCAATTGCATCGATTTCTTCGGCGACTTTGCCAGAGTGCTGCGATCGTATGTCTCGTAGTGCCTGCTTGACTTTCTCGGGTCCGGCAATTTTAATGGCGACGGAGCTGGAGAATTTGTATGGGGCGTTGAGGACGGAGCGAATTATGTGGAGGCCTACGTCGTGGGGTATAGCTCGCGAGAGGACTACGGCGCAGAGGAGTTCTTCGAAGGGTGTGAGGAGTTTTGAGTACGTGTTGATGTTGCCGCGGGCTTGGACGTCTAGGATTTCGTCTTGCGGTCTGCTCAAGCCGAGACCGGTGTCTGAGAATAGGCATTTCAGCACTTGAACTGACGCTGGCTTGGCCGTGGTGATTTTCGGCTCTGGCATCCTTGGTGCTTCGATCTGAGGAGCTACCACTGCATCCGATACTTCGATTTTCGGCGCCTCAATAACAACCTCTTCCGGTGTCCCCACCGTGTTCTCTTGCTTGCTGCTGGTTGGCGGCCGCGGTTGGCTGTACTGTTGCTGCTCTACACCACCATCCTCTTCCTCCTCCCCACCGCGCAGATTCGCACTATCTACGCGTCGAACTTCCTTGGGCACCTGCAACCCATTCGTCACGCCGCCCGTATCCTTCTCCGCAAAAAGCCGCGACCGCTTCCTCCGCGGCGCATACGAATTACTCAAAGAAGCGTGCCAGAACACGTGTGTGACTCCACGAGTAATGTATGGTGACTGCATGGCTTTTTCTAGGCCGGATTCAAGATTGTGTGGTATGGGACTATAACATTGGACGTTGGAAAGTGTGGTGAAGTGTTGGTGATGTGGTGTGGTATACCTCCATGCCACCGAAGAGAAATGCTTTTTATTTTGCGTGCGCGTCCCGCGTCAAGTCAACTCAGGGGTTCGGTGACGTTGAGGGCTTTCGGTTGTGGTGGCCGTGATGGGGCCGCTATGCAGAGTGTGGACCTGCATTAGTGCGAAGGATTGGTCCGCAACCTGGCTTAGCGTCCCGTCTGTGTTGGATGATGAATGGAACGATTTGGGGGGGGGGGGGGGGGGGGGGCAAGGGGAGGGGAGAGAAAGGATGGGGAGTTTGGTTTCGTCCATCAATTTTCCTGTGCTCGTTTGGCTGCAGCGAATAAATTTCCTACGATAAAGCGCGTCGGTAAATGTGGATTTACCACTCAGATGGCCATAGTTGTTGATGCCAGCGTCATCTAGTGAATACCACATCCCGCATCCCGGTTGTGACGTAGAAAGTGGCAGCAGAAAGAAATCCCCATCCTCCTCTTCAGGAAGATCCTCGGAACAAAGCGACGGTGGATCCTGGACACTCGGGGGGCTGCGTGATCGGTTTACCCTCCCTGTACCCAGCACGCAAAGGTTATTTCGCCGCTTGAGACGGTCGCTACAGGCAGTATCCTGATGGATATGCATGACGATACGTTGCGATATCGTACCCAAGCCCTTGGCCACTCGATCTCTTCTTCTCAATCCAAGAACAAGGCGAGAGGGACTTTGTGGCGGGCCCCGTCGGGCTGGCGCGGAACATGACTTGCATGGCATGGTTGTGGATTTGAGCTCCGGTTTGATGCGAGATTGGACGGCGGTAGTAAATTGATACTAGGGTGGTTCTTTACTGTTGTTGAATAGTCTACTTATCGTCTGTTTCTGGTGTGCCGATGGAGCCAACGGTGTGAGCTACAATGATGACTGAAATTCTGTCGATGCTGTGCGGTGGGTAGGTAGGTGACCTCTAGTTCAGACAAATCCGGGAGGACATGTCATGACAGACACACAGGCGAGAGGGTGTTCATGGTGTGAAGGTCTTAAGTATAGTACACAGCTATTCATACTCGGCATCTTGTAGTAAACTGGGTACCATTTATAGGGAAGACTGTTCATTATAGTTTTGAGAAAGACAGACGCATCCACCAGCCGACCCATGGCGTCTGCTTATCAGAGATTTTTCTTTCCTTGGGCAAGTTGTATGGTGTCTCGCCCTCTTCGCAAGTTGTAGATCTCCAACCTCAATACATGCAGTCTATTTGAACTATGAAAGAACCAGTATACATTACACGATCAATAATTGCATAGCAGAGAGATTCTATGCGAGAAGTCATCATAAACAGTGAAGAAAAAGATATACGGTACAAGCCCTATTACTACTAAAACTAAAACTTGAATTCTCAAGTAACCAAGTACCAATAGTGACGCCATCGCTATGCTTATGAATCTATCCACTCGGGGAAGAAGACTCCCCCTCCAGAAAACATAAGATACTCTTACGCTAACCCCTCGAATGACTCCACACTTTCTATACACAGTCCAATCTCAACTCTAGCCCCATCATCTTCTCACTCTTGTATCAAGACCACCACATCCAGGGCCCAGAAAGGATCACTTGAAGTAGATACCTAGCTAAATAGCCCCTTAACCCCACTCCCAACCCACACCAACCCCCTCGCCGCCAAAAGACTCGGCCCTGCATAACTCGGCGGACCAATACGCGCCAACTTGCCCGCCACCGTGCTTGCTCCCAGTATCGCCATGTCCCCACCACCTACCACTCCCCCCTTGTTCTTGTGCGCATTTAAAATGGCAAAGCGCAGCAGTACCTCCAAACACGTTACACAGATACTCAGCACAATGAGAATGATGATAATCCAGGTGATGCGAGTCATTTTGCGATCGGAGATGCTGTCGCTGAGGATTTCACCCAGGTCGAGAAAGACTTGGCAGCGTTCGTTGAGGACCTGGATCCGTGGTTTGATCTCAAGATATTCGCGGACGGCGGTGTAGAGGGGGTGGAGAGTGGGTTCAGAGTCCCAGAAGAAGTTGGGGGTGTCTAGCATGTTGGATGCTGGGAGGTGAATTGTCGTTAGTCGTTGTCATGCACAATATAGGAAGGAAGGTTGTTGGTGGATATGTAGGGGAAAAGGGAAAAGGGAAAGGGGTTCTTACAGAGATTGACATCCACACGACTTGTGAACAGCTGCCCAATCATCTTGACAACATCTGTACGTGCCATGCCCAGTTTCCCGGTCAGGGCAAGACGCTTGGGAACATATTGAGCGGCGAGCATGGTGCGCGACATGCCTTCCTCAAACAGACTGAGCTTGGTACTCTGCGCGATTGCATGGCTCATGGCAAGTTTGATCATGTGATCTCCGCTCTTGAGTGTAATCATGTCATTGTACACACGCGGCCGTGGGATATCAGGATTGTACTCGAAGTGAAACTCCTCAGTTTCAAAGTCCGACTCGGTCAGCGGGCGCGTTGCAAGTGTGACACCAGTAGCTGTGGAGCTAAATGTTAGATCAGCAAGGATATCTTTTTCTTGCTTTTCCGTAAAGTTCCAGAAGACGGCGACGCCGTAGGAGAATACGAACATCTCGCCAAAGCTGAGGGCGTTGGGCGCGATGCGGGTACCTTCGAGCGAGTCTCTGCGATCCTGGCGGCCGTCGTAGGGCGTATCTAATTCGTGGTCGTCACGAACGTAGTAGGTTTCCTCATCGCCAAAGTAGCCTTCGTGGTGATCACGCTGCTCATTGCGCTCAATCTCTTCGTCCAGGACTGTCTTGCCGCCAGGACTTTTGAGCGCAGGGCTACTACGCACACGATAGCCGTCACTTCCAGGTAGCAATGGTAGGTGGTAGACTGTATAGAGACAGTCGTCATACAGCTTCGTCCGAGCATTGTGTTGGGCTTTGACAAACTCGGCGGTGCTCTTCATCTTGTAGGCTTGCGCAGTGCAGTATGCTGTGACCCGCGAGAGCTTGTCCGTCCGCTTGGCCTTTGGTAGCCGCTCAGCATAACTCTTGTCCTTGGGTCCGCCCTTTGCCGTTCGTCTCGCAAGGTCTTCGTCGGTCGGCGGACCTTCATGGCCGTCTTCATCATCGAATTCGTCCTTCTCGTCCTCGTCTGTTTCATCCGTCTCCGGAAGCAGGACTAACTTCTCGCTCAATTTACTCGAACGAGTAGGCATATGCTGTGGGATGAGCCGGCCAGAGAGTTTGGGGTCGAGCGGATGCCGACCGCTAGGCGTGCGTGTGTGCATTAGAGGACGATGACCAGGCGGGCCGCGGCGCTGTTGCGAGGGAATGTCTGAGGCGTATTGCAGGATGTTGTCGACGGAGATGAGCTTTGCGCTGCCCTGTAGTTTCTGTGATGTGGGCGTTCTTTGAGGTCCTCGGGGTGGCGCATCTCGCGCATCCGTCATGAGAACCGTAGGGCCTCTTTTGCTCTTAGCTGTTGGCCCACTCATTTTTGTTCGCTTCCTATGCTTTCCGCTAGCTTTGGACGGTACCGGTAGCTCGAGGCAGCTGCAGTCACCTATGCACGCCCTATCTCACAAACAGGAGGCTGTCGATTAGGGGTGGTGAAGTAGATAGACTGATAGTGCAGGTAAAAGTGGCATGCGCAGGCGCGCTCTCATCAGTCGACGTCTGATTTGACCAATTATGCAAAAAGGTGGTGATGCTGCAATTCAAAGTCGAAGTCGAACTTGTCGAACTTGTCCAGCCCAGCCGCGGTTCACGTCATCTGGAACGCACGGGCCTTCGCCATGCAGCCCGACTCCACATGTCAACGGCCCGTCAATTGATTGGCAAAGGGGGATCATCATCATCATCACCCACAGTGCCTGAATGTAGATACACAAAGGTTGAAGATGGTATGATACAAGGTGCACAATGGTTATAGAACAAATGAATCGTTTGGGCATTGCTGCGCAGACTAGCTAATGGTCCAGCTAAATTTGCGCCTACTAGAAACGCCCCAACACTCCACACAAAGGTCGCCCGTTAGCAACAAAATAGACACCATCCAAACTTTCAGGCAGACAAAAGGAAATACTCGGCCACAGGCTGGTGATTTGATCGAGTGAAAGGGTATCAATTTATCGTCTTACTTCTCTCAATCACCCTCGTGGCTGGCCCCCTCAGCCTCATCCTCTCACAGGGCATACCCTCCCACAACTTGGGCGGGAAAACGCCAAAAAGTAAAAAAGAAAAGTATCAGACATTATACATTCGCGGTTGACGCAAAGTTAGTTCCGCTCGGTACGCTCAAAGACGCTTCCCAGGAACGAAAATGAAAAGACAGCAGACGGCTGCGGTAAGGACGAGGAACATGATCAGCACAGTGATTGCCCGCCTGTTCAATGTTTTCCGGACAAACGGCTCCCTGATCTTATTGAAATCGAAGAAAGTGTATTCGCTGTACCCTGCCAGAGCAATGATAGGGTCGAGCATGTATTGGTGAGTGAAGATAAGGTAGATAGCGATGGTGAAGGGCAGGATGACCTAGCATGTTGTTAGTTGACACGGCGGTCGGAAAGGAATAAAGACTACACACCCAACATCTTGTTGCTCTTGATTTGTCGAGGAAGATGAGAATGAAAGAGGCCCAAATGGCCGTGAAAAAGCTAATCAAGCCAATGATGAGTCGCAACATCATACTTTGAGGAACCAAGTTGCCAAGACCCTTGTTCTGGAGGAAACCTGGGTATGCGTCGCGCTCCATGGCTTGAAAAACGTAGTCTTTGGCGGGGTCAAAGAGTTCGGGGTCTGCACGCTGCTCTGGTCCTTCAATGGCATCTTGCACCTCATTCAAAATGCTCTGAGGGATAATGATCTCTCGTTCCGATCCAGGTAGTAGGTATGTGTAGAGGATCTTTTCTGCGGAGGCGCGCAAGTCTTCCCGGCGTGGCTGACTGTTGTCCAAGGACGACTGCTGACCTGGCGAGGAAGAGTCACCAGGCGTGCTTGTTATCGCCATGCTTGGTGGAGGTAGAGGGTCACGACTCTGATTGCTACCCTGACTGTTCTGCGGCGAGTGGTTGCGACTTCCACGATCAGAGCGAAGAAAGGCCGAAAGGCGCTGATCAGACATGTTGTCGCCCTTCTCGTTGGATGGACCTTCACCAGCATTGTCGAGAATGTAGGATGATCGATGGCTATTCTTTTCGGCGTCGGGAGTCCCCTCAATCATAGAACGATGCAGCCGGCGAACATAAAGTCTGCATAGCTGAAGGTGTTGCGACACATCAAGCCTGTCGGAGATTAGCCGTTGCGCAAATTCCTTGTGATTTCGGTATTTTTTTACCAGAAGTCCAGATAATCGACAGATCGTTGCTGATCTCGCATGTAGATGTAGAAGGAGAACAGATCCAGAGGGGCTACAGTATTACGACTCAACACCTCGTGCAGGGTCGGGAAGCGATTACGATTCTGGCCCTCGATGATGCCATCCGTATGGTCGGGTGCAGCCGGGTGCGACATGGCTGCGGTATGTCGTAGAGGTTCGTAACGAATGTGGCGCGACGATGTCGCAGATTCAAAGGTCGGATTATCGATAGACGCGACGTTCAGTGGGCGCGGAGCCCGCAGTGTGCTTGCTTGACGAGCACTGCAATTGCTGAGCGGACCACGACTCGGGGGCGGTGGTGAGAAGAAGTAGAAAAAAGGGTGGTGACGAAGGATGCGGTGGCAGAGTCGTTCGCGGTGGGTTCCACGGCGTGGGCGGCGTGAGTGGGCGCTCCAATAGACGGTGGATCGAGGGTGAGCGTGGGAAATTAGGAGTGAGGTTGAGCTTGGCGCAATCACTGGTGGAGCGAACGGCAGTAGCTAACTAGCTGGATGCGCGTCGATTTGCGCGCCGCGCGTAGTGATGGGGACTTAGGTAAAGAGGCTCACGCAATCCTTCTTCTACATGCTATGTAGAACCCGCCGAGAACTCGCTGACAATGATGGGACTGGATGATGTGGATGCCACCGGGTCGATCAAGCTGTTGTGTGAGGCTGAAACGCAACATCCGTCTAGGTGTCAGCAGTCCCCGTCACGTGCTCGCACCCGCATAGCAACGGCGGTGACGCCAGATCGACGATCCCCATAATTTCTTGCAGCGGGACGACGTATTTTGACTCATATGTATTTTGTCTGTCCTGGGTCTACATATGAACGTGTCGTCACGTTGCATTCGCTTTGCGTTGCCAGCAAAGTCCATTCGGACTCATCGTAGCTCCAGGCAGCAATGGCACAGCCCGAACCTCGTGCCTTTCAAGTGACATGGAGCATTAGATGATCAGGTCTGCTCAATACAAGACCAACTAACTTCCATACAATTACCTGCTCACATCGGCTACCATTGCAAGAGGACCAGTATGTCTTCCCAAAACATTTTACCTAATGACTTCCAAGAACAACTGCAACGAGCTCATACAGAGCGAAACCCAACCCCACCACCTGCAGAGATTATAATGCCCAAGTACACGCTACCTGACAACTTTCTGGAGGGCCCAGCCCCAAGCATCTCACGTCACGATATCGACTTTGCCAAGGCAGGATTAAACGAGTATGACGGTGCCTGGGCGGTGGTGCTAGATGGAGTTATGACTGAGGAAGAATGCAACCAACTGGTAGCAGCAGCCGAAGCAACCACCAATGGGAAATGGGAACGAGCTCTGGTCAACGTTGGCGGTGGAATGCAAGCATTGTACGAGGATACGAGGAAGTGTGGACGCATCATCTGGGATAGTCGTGAAATCATGGCGAAGTTGTGGGCGAGGATCGAAGCCTTGGTGCCTGAGATACACGAACTGAAGAATTGGGCAGATGTGACGGGTAACGGTCCATATAAGCGCAATGAAACGTGGAGAGTGACAAGGCTCAATGAGCGTGGTCGCTATCTCAAGTATCAAGGCGGAGAGTATTTCAAAGGTACGCATACTAATTGAGGACTGTGGATCTATTGCTAAGCCCGCAGCGCATTGTGATGGCTCCTATGAAACACCTGACCGCGCTGAACGATCGTACTTCACGCTACACCTGTACCTCAACGATGCCGTCGACAAGGATGGGAAAACGTTGCTTGAGGGTGGGGCCACCACTTTCTACACCTGGAACATGAAGCAACGTATCGATATAACGCCAAAGTGCGGCCGCGTTTTGCTCTTCCAGCACCGGGACCTTCTCCACTCCGGCGATGATGTCCTCAGTGGGACAAAGCTAACGCTAAGGACCGACGTCATGTACACTATAGACGGAGGGTTGAAGGCTTGAGCGGGCTTTGCTGAAAATAAAATAAAATTGAGATGGTGTTTGTGAGTAGCTGATGAAAGTCGTGCGTGCACATTGTATGAATCTGATTAGTAGTATCCTTTGAACTTGGTGGCTGGCGCAGGTAGCAAACTTACATGAGCAAAAATAAAGGTGAACGGCCTGCCTTGCCAGAGTAATCAGAATCGAATGATACCGTGCCCTCTTTCGCCGAAGCTACTCGAGGTCAAGCATGCTGCGTATTGTACTACAGTGTCACCTCTCCCCTAAGCGGGTTCAAGGCACACAATCTTCGCACCGACTCCCATAGGGTGACCACTCTGCAAACTCCACCCACCAGAGGAAAGATGAAGCCTGCTTCGTAGGCCCTGAGTTTTCTGATGCCGAGTGCAGACGTGAGTCACGCCAGGCCCTTACGGGCAGTACAGTCCATGATGGACATGATACAAGTGAAGATTACTCCGAATTTCTCATTTGCATGTTAGGACAGCTTCGGAAAGCGTCTGTGTGTGTGCAAAGAAACGCAGCGTTGGCGAGGCAGGCCGTTGACGAGAGAAGGGTTTGGCGGGAGCTCTAGAATTTTGTAGCTTCCACTAGCGGCGGCTGACGGGTTATCTTTGGCGCCGGTATGAGGGTCCACGTCACGACACTGCAAGCACGCCTCTCTGGATTCTTTCGAGATAGCAAAGCATCACCAAACCAACATTGATTCATCAGATCAGTGCATCAACTATATCAGCCAATACTTGGGTCAACATATCTCTAGGGAGCCTTTCCTGCATCTAGTAGAGCTATCGCTCTATCATTCATTGGCATCTACCATAGAGGTTGGAGCTAGCGATCGGACACATATGATGGTATTCTGTTAACGTGCAGGCTTTCCCCGACCGCAAGGCACTGCTGATCTGTACCTGGGACCCTGGTATAGATGTGTCTTGGATTGCTGGCTCGATCAATGGATATCGTCAGATGAAAATCGGTATGAGCAAGTGCCACAGCCAATACTGCCGACCAGTAACCTCTTGAGCGACATGCATCACGAGACGAATATGCTTCTATCGATTTACTTGAATAGATACACGATGATGATGCAATTTGATTCATCGGCCGGTCCAAAATGAGTAATACAAGAGGGCAACATTCTGGTAAACCAATAGGGTTACTGTACATACTTACATGATTAGTGCACCAAATGCATATACTAATCGGTCTTTTGCCTATCTAGCTGGGGAGATTTCTCGGAAACTATGGTACTTACTGATCCTCTTCTCGTTTCATTGAACTTTGTCTGCAGCTCAACTTTGGCACACTATGAATATGCTCTACCACGCTTGGAGGATTCTAATGTGCGGATTGTATAAAACCACTCCATCCACCATCTCCATAGCTTATCTCTCATTCACAGCTTAAATCTACAGTCTAGTCTCACCAAAACTTGGCTCTTATTCGCTTTCAAGAACGCTACTTCCCTTCGCTCACAAAGAAACGTCCCACTCACGAGAACTTGGATTCTTCCTCAAAGCTCTGTTATTACAATAACTCAACCCCTGAGTTCCCCACCATTCTCTCACCGTCAAACCAGTAACTATGTTGTTTCTCGGCCACCTCATCGTCTTCTTGTCCTGTACAGGTCTGTCCATGGCCAAACACAGGGATAAGAAATACGACAGTGCCTTGGACACGACTCCGCTCGGATTGAGTACCGACCAGTTGATCTTCCGCATGAAAGCCGAAGAGTTCCAGGCCCGCCGCACAGCCCGCATAGGGGAGCCTGGCCTCATTTGGAACTTAGATGGGTGCAAGGGGGAAGCTGATCGACCCTTTGGCTGGGACTGTAAGTTTGTAATGCATTCACTCTCGTCTCATACACCAAAAGTTTTTGGGCTTCTTGGTTTATATTATTGTTCTCCCCGCATGTTCTCTCACGCTGGAGAGCTTGGACACATTCTGCATAAAACGTGCTAATAGATATCATAGTCAAGGACGCCTGCGACCGCCACGACTTTGCCTATAAAAATTACAAGGCGCAAGGACGTTTCACTTCAGTAAGTCATTCTTTCCCTATCAGACCCACACGAATACCTACAAAGTATCGACCTATTATGTCGTGTGCGCTGACATCACATCTCCGCAGGAAAACAAGAAGAGGATCGACAAAGTCTTTCAGGAAGACATGTTCCGCCAGTGCAAGATTGAAGAGGGTTCGCAGGATGCCTGCCATTTGACGGCCAGCGTGTACCACCGTAACGCACGGACGTTCGATCGCAGGTCTCTGACTGGCCGTCTGGATCTGGCATCTCTCGAGAAGAGCGATAACGTGGACTAGGTGGGGAGGTAGAGGGACTAGGAAGCTGTCTCCTTTGGAGCGAGGAGTAAGGCTATGATTTGGCGCTGGTTTGGAGCGCAGCTTCTATTACATCGCGCGATGGGGGCAATGTCATGTCCAATTGCCATAATCTATCCAACTTTCAATGTTGACAAATCACATTCTAGATGAAGAATGCCTGGGGCTATATCCCAATGGAAGCTTTGCTGTCCTCGGAATGAGGAGATAATAGCCACGTAGTGGTAACTCAAAGTATTGCAATGAATATCTTTTTTTCACATCATCGACGTCTTCCTCGTCACTTCCCAAGCGAAGACAAGAGCCGTGGTCGTCGCGACGGCCTCACACATGACCACGTTTTCGAACCATCACTTTAGACCTGGACCCTCATCCAACTCGTCCTGGAATACCTTGGTGTCGCATCTTGCCTATCCCCAAGAGGCACTGATTGATTGGTTCTACGCGATCCAATCTAGCGCGCTGATCGCGCAAGCCCGTGCAGTGCAGGGATCTGGCCACGCGACTTTGTTTCCGGGGCAAAAGATGCAGGGACAATAAACACAACAGAGGGCTGGCTCGGCTGTGCCTGTAATTGACAATCTTCATTCACACACGTTTCCACCTTTCTCTTTACTTGATTGCAGTGCTACAGATTCTTACAAAGATTTTACGCTCCTCCACTCCTCACTGCCTTTGGATTGTTCGATCAGCTTGGAATATTGTCGCCGTGGATACTGGGAGAAGAAGAGTGTACAAGACTACACATGATCAGTGTGACCGCGCTTGCACAGAGAAGCAACGAGATTTGAACTTGGACGACACACGCAGTCACAGATACAAAATGGCAGCCGGCAGTAATGCTACCGTCGCTCAGCGGTACGTTCTCGATCACTACCGGTACTGCTTGCCACACAAGCTCTCGTCACAAGCAATCATACACTCCACCACAACCAGGGAACAATCTGCTAATCCGCGCGCAGTCTCCAGAAGGAACTCATGGACATCATGACTAAACCTACACCCGGCCTGACTGCCTTTCCCGACGACGAAAACATGACTCTCTGGACCGCGACCATCGACGGCCCAGCCGATACCCCCTACGCCAACCTGGTCTTCAAGCTCAGCATGGAGTTTGCGGCAAACTATCCCTACAGCCCGCCAACGGTCCTCTTCAAGACACCAATTTACCATCCAAACGTCGACTTCAGTGGCAGGATCTGCCTGGACATTCTCAAGGACAAATGGAGTGCAATCTACAACATCACGACGGTATTGCTGAGTCTGCAGAGCTTGCTGGGCGAGCCGAACAAGTGAGTCGATTCTTGTTCTAGTAGAGAGGCGGACTTTACGTGCCTCTGGGTATGCAAAGACATGTGCTGACGAGGTGGTTTTAGCTCGAGTCCGCTGAACGGTCAGGCTGCTGAGCTTTGGGACAGCGACTTTGAGGAGTACAAGCGTCTTGTCCTGGCTCGCCACAAGGCACCCGAGGAGTTGGACGCCTAGGGAGAAGAAATCTCTGGGTGATTTTCTCTCCGCTGGGCTCCGCCTTGCGACGGCTCGGCGCAGCACTGTGCCGTAGTCATGTGTGTTGACAGTTTTGTTCCCTCGGCCATGAGACCGCTTGAGTGCTTCTGGCAGACTGGTCTTGCATCCTTGCACAACTCCGACACGGAGTCGTCTGGCCTGTCCCACCAAGCCCAACCCATTGTGCTATTTCCAAATACCCGACTCAGGTGCCCAAGCATAGTGCACATGTATGCACACAATGGGCGTTATCATTCTTTTTTTCTCTGCATGGCGCCGTTGGTCTGGGGGGAGGGCGATGGCGTATGAGCAATGTACATGTGTGGGTGTGCATCAAATCAATGGCTTTGACTGACTGGACATGCGACGACCAGGGTTCGAGGCGTTGGATATGATTGCTCTAGATGCCTACTACTACCTCTCTTTTCCTTCTCCTCACTACCCCTTCTCCTCACGATTGAATCGCTAATTCACTTCTCTTCACACATGCATGTCTGCTTCTTGATGCACCACGACGCAACACACTGACTGTGTAGAATACAGATTCCTGTTGCCACTACTACCAGCCAGTACCAAGCATGCATGTCACACGCCTGAGCGTGCCGTGCAGTATAGGTGATGTGACGGTGTTTGTGTTTGTGTGCTGCCTTGTCTAGTGGACGGTTACTGTGCATGCAATCCGCATGGTTGATTCTGATTCCGATCCGCCTCGTCTTTGCCTCGCTTTGCCGGGCTGGCTTGTCCTCTCCCAACGCCACTTCCGTCAGGATGGCAGTACTGGGAGTGTGCGTGGCTTGATCATGGTATGGCAATGGGGCGTAAAGGGGAATTTTTTGGGGGGTGGAGTGCTTTGGTGGTTGATTGGCTGGGTGGTAGTGGCAGTGGCCGTGGTACTGAAGTCGCACTTGGGCAGTGGCGAAAAAAAAGCAGATTGCGAGGGGGAAAAGAAAGGTGGTGGGGGGTGTTGTGGTGATGAGTAGTTGATGGACCGAGGGGATTTTCTTTTTGTTTTTTTTTGGGAGGAGGGGAGTGAGGTGGTACCACCATCTCGTTGTTCAGGAGAGCGAGCAAGCAGAGAGTGAGGGTGGAAAAGGCGATGGGAGGCTAACCATCTCGCCATGACTGCCAAACCGCAAGATTCAACCCACAAAACCTACCCATCCTCGCCATACCAATCACACCCCCATTGCACAACACAAACACATCACACACCACACAACCCACCTGCGAAACCTCTGCCACCCCACGCACAGACAGACCCATACGATCCGAGGCCGGCACGGCACATGCAGACCGAGCAAGCGAGACGAGCCAACGCCGCCCCCGCACAAGCCCCGTTTTTCAGGGCGGGTTGTGAGGGAAAAAGAAGGAAAGGACATGGGGTGATGTAATGTGTAAGCCGGGTGGTGGCTTGATGGTGTGTACTATAATACTAACGGGACCATGTAGATTGGGTTGGGTTGGGTTGGGCTGGGTTGAACTGGGTGGGGGACCCGCTCTCGTACAATACTATTAGTATGGCATGTTCCTACTATGCTATGGGTTGAACTGGGGTGGGGCACCCGCTCTCGTACAATACTAGGGTTGGTTTGTGGGCAGAGAGGCAGTTGAGCTGTGGTAGTAGAAGGAGAAGGAGTGTTGTACGTAGGGTGGGTTGGGCGTGTGTTGCTGTCGATGAGGTGAATGTGGTATGTGTATACAGCTAACATTGGCCCACGGTAGAAAAGGAAAAAGAAAGGGAAACAAGGCGGGTACGTGGAAAACGTTATAGTCGGTGATCGGTAAAGGGAAAAAAAGGTAAAGAGTGGATCGTGTTTGTGTTTGTGTTTGTGTTTGTGTTGTGTACTACCTAGTAGCTAGTCGGTAGCCAACTACACAGCCAGTAGAGCGTCATCCTTCTCAGTCAGCCTCGAGGGTCCCGGTCGCCAGGTGCAAGAAAGCAAAAGGCAAAGGGCGCTCTAGTTGGGCGATTGAACCGAGGGACAAACTACATGCCGATGTGGTAGCACTATGTATTCTTCACGCGTCGGCATCAGTTTCCCAAAGGAACAGGCGCTGTGCTGTGCTGTGCTGTGCTGTGCTGTGCTGGTGGGTGGGCATGAGTGTAGGTGTGGGTGTGGTGTGTCTCTGCTGACAAGTAGTATTGGTACCTAGAATACTTTGCACCTTGGAACCTTGTTTGTTTTTTCATTAGCTGGGGCCAAGTCAGCCGTGTTGGGGGGAATGCAGGGCCATGTTTCGGTCCTGGGTTTCTGGGTGTGCGGGCACGATCTGCGAGGAAGAGAAAGGATGTGCGAACGCTTGCTGCTTCTGGTCCTGCTGCTCGTCCTGCTGGTCCTGCTGCTGACGATGACGATGGCAATGACGAGGATGATGATGATGATGATGATGCTGCTGCTGCTGCTGCACTTCTTCTTCTTCTTCTTCTTCTTCTTCTTTGCCTGCATCTTTTACCACCACTGGCAAGACTTTCTCTTGTCTCTCTCACTCTCTCGAACAAGGGTCCACCCAGAAGTCATCCGGTGGTTCCTAATCTCCCCACCGGAGCCGAACGCGAAGCTTCCGAGACGGAGAGAAACTTTTCCCCTCTCTCTCTCTCTCTCTCTTGCGCCCTCTCTCTCTTCCCAGACCAGAAGTGGGCTCGTCTACGAATCATGGGACGCCCTCTCCTCTCTTTTACTCCTCTCGTCTCGTCTTCGCAGGTGGTTCGATGCAGGCCAGAAAACAAAGCAATCGGCTGATTGGGCCGCGGGACCCAGTGTTGCGCTGGACCCAGGGCTGCAGCCCCCGCGTGCGTGTGGAGCACCATGTATGTACGGTGTATTGCAGAGTAGAGTAGGTACGGCACTGTGTACAACGACGCGGAGGACATACATGAAACCATCCTCGGCCATGACGGCAGCACCGACATGTCCTGAAGCCGACGCCAGCAGAAACTCCCACAAACTTTGTACATGGCACATGCAGCACGAGCTGGTTCCCTTTTCTCCAGCGCTGCCAGGCCCCTTTCCTTTCCTTTCCTTTCCTTTCCTTTCCTTTCCTTCCCTTCCCTTCCCTCTTGGGCGGCGGGTAGACAGGCAGGACAGCACGAGCACAGTCTGAACTGTTGAAAGGATGGGGACCGTAAGGTGCGGGGCTCCCGCTCAACCATGGCACCAGGGCTGGACCAAAATAGGTCAGGGCTCGGACGAGCCTTGGGTTGGTATGTGTACTACTAGGGTACAAACCTACGTATGGCTGCTAGCAGCATGGCTGGGCTGGGTCATGGAGTTCTATCTATGGGTGGGTGCACTGTGCAGCCTTGGGTGGGCTCTGGCCTTGCCGTAGCGGCGCCCCGGTGCCAGGGGTCCTTTCGTCTTTGCCCAGCTTGCCTAGTTGCCTGTCCAGTTCTCCCTCCAGTCCCTCCACCCATCAAATGATTGATGTGAACCCGGCGCGCCGGATGACAGCGCGCGCGCGGGTGACGCGATGCTGCCGAAAAGGCCCTTGACACAAACCCGCTCTGGCTTTTTGCTGGTCAGGCGGTGCGCTTGGGGCTGGCTTGGAAGACGTGGGTGATGGCAGGAGGGAGCCTCAGCCCGCCCCCTACAGCAAGCCATCATTCTGATCCACAACCTGAGGCAAAAAGAGAGTGGGCGAGGGAAGAGACGACGAGAAAGAGAGGGAGGGGGGCCAGTTGATGAGGCATGGGCGGTCAAGTGGGTGGTTGTCTTACCCATTACACAGGGACACCAGCACAGGTGCACGCTGGATTCGAAACAGGTACGCCGACATACCCTGTCTGGCGCGTGTGGCCAGGGTATACACACTACCTTAGAGAGGCCATGAAGTGAGAGCGGACCATGGGCGATGAGCGGTGGACGGTGGACGGTGACGGTGACGGTGACGGTGTATTGTGTAGGCACGTACTCTAGGTAGGATAGGGTACTCTACTCTAGATAGGGCAAGGTAGCCAGCCAGCCAGCCCGGTCTAGTGTGCCACTTACTGCCAGCCGCAGCAAGCTCTCTCTCTCTCACAAGTCTCTCGCACTCTCTCTCCCCCAGGGCTCTCGCAGGTTCGTCAGCAGAGAGGCTGGGCCTATAGCGCATTGTCGCAATATCGCAGACTCGAGCTCGTACATTGCCATGCTTGCATGGGGCCTAGTGGTGGCTGATGCTGCATCTCAGAGAGAGAGAGAGAGTGTGTGAGTGAGTGAGAGACAGAGAGACAGAGAGACAGAGAGACAGAGAGACAGAGAGAAGCCTGGAAGACGCCAGGCTCATGGCGGTACTACTTGGGATACTACTAGATAGCCACACTCTCCACCAGCTACAAAAGTACCTAATAAAACGGAATGAATGGTGTGCGCCATGGCAATGCCTTGCAGAGGGCGACCGATGGAGGTAGCACGACGTAGCTTGAATGCGGGCCGCCGCTGGATTTGGCAGCCAGAACAGGCCTAATCCTTTCCATGGGCTCGACACCTGGCCCACCGCCCTTGTTCGGCACCACCGCCATGGCCCATTCAATCCAATCCAGCACTTGAGCCAGAGTGAGCAGACCCGTCTGAACCAGCCCGAGAGAGAGAGTGAGTGTGAGAGAGAGAGAGAGAGAGTGTGTGTGTGAGAGAGTGTGTGTGTGAGAGAGAGAGCGAGAGAGAGAGAGAGAAAGTAGAGAGAGAGAGAGAGAGAGAGAGAGAGGCATGCAGCCTGGGCCCCAACACCGCACACCCACGCTCGGCCCTCTCTAGAACACCACCCGACCAACCAACCAAGCACCAACCACACACACACACACACACACACACACACACACACACACACACACCACTCTTGTCTTCCTGCTCTTCCTCTTCCTCCTCTTCTCCCTGTTCTACTCTACTCTACTCCACTCCACTCTACTTGGCTCTGCTTTGCCTCCATCTTTTGGTCGTGAGAGCACATGTAGGTCGTTGTGTCTCTGGTGATTATTGTTGTCATTTACCATCATCTCTGTCACCATCGACAAACATCCCGGTTGTTCGTGCTGGCGAGCTTGCAGTCGTCGTCTTGCCATCCGTACCCTTCCTTCATTCTTGTTGTGACAACCAATCGTTTCACTGCCGTACCTTGACACCCGTGCACACGCTACCTCGCTGGATTCCCGGTCCACCGCGCTATGACAGTCTGACCTGGTCTGACGGTCCTCTGAGCAGCAGCAGCAAAGTCCTTTGTTCACTCCTTCGTCCTCCTCGAGAGAAGGTACCAAGGTTCAAGAGACCATCCGCCTGGCCCAACAACCGGAGCTTTTGTCACGGGCCGCCTGCTCGCACCCGTCTGCACTGCACTGCTTGCTATCCGCTCAGTGCCTGGGTGCTCTCCCCATGCATCGCTTTCCTCAGTGACATCTGGGTGTGAGCTTCACACCTCGTATCCTCGTCTCGTCTCGCCTCGTCTGGCCTCGTCTCCCCAGTATTCACACAGCTCGCCAACAACACCCCTCATGACGACCGACCTGCTTCCCACCACCGGCATGGCCCTCCTAGGCGCCCCGGACAGCGACGTCGGCCCCAAGGACGCCGCTGCCCACTCGACGCCGGTGCAGGCCATGCAGGTGGAACTCACCCAGGACATTGTCGACGAGCTCCTCGAGAGCGTGAGGAGCGGAAGATCGCCCCAGATCCTCTTTGGTCGTACTCCAGTACGTCTACAGCACCTGATGAGACGGCAAACCCAACCCACCACCCAACATCGCTAACACACCCGTAACAGCAACTCAAATGCGGCGACAAGACACACGTGCTGCAAACCAGCCCCGAAGCCCATCGCCACGAGCTCTACAAGACCCACGGCACCGGCGACGACGCCCATCTCGAGTTCGCGGCCGTCATCAACCACAGTCTGGTGGTGCAAAAGGCCGACCATGTCACGGCAGGCGTCGACTCGGCGCTGGAACAGCTCAGGAGTAGCATGGCAGCCATCTCAGAGTTCAAGGAAGCCAACAAGTAGGCCTCCCCTTCTGGCGACCTGCCCCAAACCTCCCTTCTGTCCTCCTTTGTCGAGACAGCCGAAGCCAACGGCCTTGCCCCTTTGTTGTGGCTGCTGCATGTTGCTGCATGTACATGGTGACTCTACGTTGCAGATACATGACACACATGGACACCAATTCACCATGCTATTACATAAAGTACACGACGTTGTGGCATACATAGACTGACCAATGTACCCATTTAGGACGATTGTTGGCGAAGCTACTCCCGGTCGCACGCCTGGCCATCGTCGCTTCCCCTCGACCGGCTTCAAGCCAACCCACCTCGCTCCCGCTAAGCTCGGCTCCCCGCTGCTCAGCGCCCCTTCCTCGCCCATGCACAAACGGGCTCCCACCTCACAGCCAGGCAACACGCGTGAACTGGTCCTCGCAGCACTTCGCATGCCCGTCATTCACCTTCTCGCCCGCGAACCGTCCACAGAGGCGGCCCTCGCGGCAGCATGTCGCACCTCTCTTGCCAGCATGCGCGACCTCTTGCCCAAGGTCGCCAAAAAGACTTCCTCGCCCGACGGTGACAAGTGGCAGCTCACGGACAAGTCGTTCCGCGAGGTGAAGCCGTGGAAATTCCCCTACCAGAGTGCCGAAGACCGCCAGCAGGCCATTGATGGCGCAATCAAGTCGTTTGACAGGCAACGACTCGCAAAGGATGACAAGCTCTGGCAGATTTTGCTACCGCGTGAAGAGCGAGGCCAGGGCATCTGTCTGTCACGCTCGACTGTGAAGGCGCCCGAAGCCAAGGCGAAGCCAGGCACGCCCATGCACATGCCCAAGATCTCCGACCTGACCAAGAAGAAACCAGTCTCGAAGAAGGCTACTACCGACAAGACGACGGAGAAGAGGCCCAGGGCGATCAAGGAGACTGAGCCCAAACCCAAGTCGGCGATGAAGGAAAAGTACCTGGCCCGTGAGAAACCAACGGTGAAGGTGAGAGAGAATAGGGAAGCAAAGGACGAACCCACAAAACCGGCCACACTCTCCAATTCTCAGACGGCTGCACCCTCTCACCTCAACCCACCTTCCGGCGCCGCTTCCAAGATCCGCACCAAAAAGGTACCCGCTGCTGAAGGCAATAATCACAACACCCCACGCGTGAAGCCAAAGATGTCTGCCCGCGACCTTCACCGAGAGCCGCCCAAGAGGCAGTTCAAGTCGACGATGCCAGTCAACACCAAGCCCAAGAACCCGTCGCCTCTCTCTGTGTCGCCGCCTGTCAACGCGAGTGACTTTGAAGACAGCCACCCGGTCCACAAGGCCCTCGCTGCGGCGCCCTCGCCAGCCAAGAATGCCTCGGGCAACTCTGATCGCTCGCTGAAGCGCAAGGCCAACGACCTGGACAGCGATATCCACAACCACAACCTCGCTGTCAAGAAGCCGCACGTGGATCGCTCGACAGCAAACCACACACCCTCTCACGTCAACGGCCGACTGAACGGCTCCACTCCGTCGACCACTAGCTCCCGTAAGCGCAGGACCGATGAATCTTCCTCATCCAACACGCCCACCACCACCGCTCCCAAAGTCCGCAAGGTCACCAACATCGACACGGGCCTCGCTTCGCGCTACCACCACAACAACCCACGCGCATCCCCTGGCGCCTCGTCGTCTTCCACCACGTCACCGTCTATGCCCAGCCTGAGCTTCCGTCAGACTGTCGAGCTCTCCCGCAGGTTCCAGACGTATTACAAAAAGTACGAGGAGTTGTACTGGAAGTTGGCCGACGCAACGACCCCGCCCACGGACACACAGAGGAACGCTCTGCTGGACATGCACAAGAAGCTGGAGGAGATGAAGAGGGAGATCAAGGCGGGTGCCATGACGCACCGCTGAATGATGACCAAGGAAGAAGGATGACGCTGCACAGCTACGACACAGCCACACGCTTTGTGCGTGCCACGAATGATCAGAGTACACAGTTTGCACATAACCCATATACCCCACGGCCTAACCTATCTGATGGAGATGGAGGCAATTTGCATACTCCCAAAAACGGTGTTGGAGGAAGCCATTGGACACAGCACGGCGTTTATGTTTGGCGAGATGACAAGGTTGCATGCATTGGGACACGGTGCGATTTTTTTTTTTTTTTTTTTTTTGCCTTTTTGCTTGATGCATCATCACTACTACTACGGCCCGTCGTCTGTCTTTTCGGCCTTGAGCTCAGGCCCTTGCAGCAACGAATGATATATGTCAATGGCTGTTTTTTCTTCCTTTCATCATCTAGATAGAAAACGCGAGTTGCGTTTGTGTGCTCGTGCTCGTGCTCGTCCTTGGCAGAGCTTCTTCCTCTATCAAGACAAAGAAATGCGGCGATTTGAAACCTGTCTTGGCCTCTCTGCTCGACGAAACCTTTTCTCTGCCCATGCGTTGTGACTCTGTTTCAGCTCGTATGCTACCTTCTCACCCTGTTTTCCCCCCGCGCGCACCGCTGCACCTTCCCTTTGCAGCATGCTTTTTGATAGCGCACCTTCCGTCTTTGGCTCGTTGAGGGTTTTTGTTTTGGCTTGTCTGGGATTGGCCCGGTGGCAAGTAACGGATGAGGGGATGAATAAATGAAGGGAATGAAGGCAACATCTCCCATGTAAATTGTAAAGAGGCAGGAACCCTCCCTTCTCCCAGATAGAGAAGACTGGGATTGGGGTTGCTGCATGGGGAATACGGGTATCCTCTAAACTCACAAATCCAACTGCAAAAACCCCAACCCCAATCTCCAACCCATTCACCCGCACACACAATCCATTCCATTCCATCCGCCCTCCTCCAGACCCCAGTCCAGCACAAGGGCCGCAATCGCGTGTCACCCCACGAGGCGGATGTTGCCTTGCTGTACCGGACGGACGTTCTTGGGGGGCACATTGGCGCAGGAAGAAGATTTCAGGGCGATGTTGATGCGCCGTGTTGTTTCGCCGTGGGCAGGCGGACTAGGTGGGTAGTGCTGACCTTTGTTTTGGTGGGGGGTGGGGGTAGGCTGACGGATGACGGGGGATGGTGGAGGGGAACGTCATTGGGATGGGGAGGGGGAGGGGGGGGGGAGATATGCATGCAGGTGTGAATGATTGTAGTGGTTTTAGTGGTGGTGGTTGTAGTGGTGGTGGTTGTAGTCGTCGTTGTAGAATATCTAGGTGACGGGCTAGGGAGGGGAACGTGGTGTTGGTGTTGTATCGTAGCGAGGGTAGACTCTACGGTAGGTAGAGGGACCCAACTCAGTACTCTTTGACGACATCGACATTGACATTGACATCAACATCACCCTACACAACAACCACCACAACACCCACTTCACCCACCCACCCTTCTTCCTTTTTTATTCCCCATCTCACCCCTGCAAATGCGCCTCCCAGCCCTCCCCCCCTTGAAACCCAATCCCACGCTCAGCTGCACCACCGCTACCGCTGCAAACATCCCCGCCGCGCGACGCTTGGCGCAGGTCCACGACATCAAGATTCTGTGGGAGAAAGGTCGGGCAGCCGGTATGCAAGGGGATATGCAGGGGAGCAAAGCCATGGAGCGGGGAAGAAACGGTATGTTGATTGATTTTATTTCCATGGTTGCAAGTTGGTTATTTGAATTTGATCTCGTTACTCTCAGCTGCTTGCTGTACCGGTACCGGTATGAGATGGGCGTGGGTGTTGGGCGTAGAAGAGTGCCAGAAGAAGATATAGGGCTTGGAACATGGTCGTTCATGCACCCCTCCCCTTCCCTGCAAGAAACTTCTGTTTGATTCTTAATCCCCCCTCTGGCCTTTTATCCTCGGAATTGGAAAATTGGAAAGCTAATAGCCAGTGTGCGCGGGGACGTGTAGTTTTCGGACAGCCGTTGCAGATGCTTTCGACGCAGCCGATGACGGGGTTTACGCGCTCGGGGTATTGCGAGGTTCCGGCTTCGGATAGGGGGAATCATTCGGTTGCTGGTATGGTGGTTTTTCCCCCTTTTTTTTGGTCTTTTTGTGTGCCCTTTTTGCCCTGCTGCCCTTGTACTTTTGTGTCTTTGCACTCTCTCCCCTTGCACCACCCCCAACACGCACTCACGAAATACCCAGCACCCTCCATTCCCAAACTAACATCTCTCCTCACAACAAAAGCCATCCTGACCAACGAATTTCTCGACTTCTCCGCCGCACGCGGGAACAACTTGCGCCAGGCCGGTCTGACAGAGGGCTGCAAATGGTGTCTTTGCGTCAGTCGGTGGAAGGAGGCGTTTGAGGCGCGGACGGGGCCAGGGGACAAAAAGGTTCCCAGGGTTGTGTTGGCGGCGACGAATGAGCGGGCGTTGGAGAAGGTCAAGGTGGAGGAGTTGAGGGGGTTTGCGGTTGATGAGTGAGGGGGAGTATAGCATTGTGTTTGTTAAAAGTAAAATCGAGAGATTATATAGGATGGAGTTGTTGGTATTGCGAAATTACTCATCATCCATCCCTTCATCCTTGTACTCACTATCATCCAACCCCCCAATCCTCTTTTTCTCCTCCAACACCCTCCTTTCAAGACTACACCTCAACACTCTCTTCCGTTCCCCGACCCCAACCCCCTTCAACCCATCATCCTCCCTATCCCAATATACACTCCACCCATAACCCCCCTTCTCCTCCCCAACAGCAACAAGACACTCCTCCCCCTCCAACGTAATCCCCTGCTCATCCTCCGTCCAGTCCCACGGCCCAACAACGTGTTTCTTCGCCTCGGCGCGCGGTCCGTATTTCAGTTCGCGCGTGCGTGTGTCGGCGTAGACCCAGTTGAGCTTGGGCTTGGAGGGTGGAGATGTGCTGGATGCTGGGGAGGAGGAGGTGGTGGTGGTGGTAGTTGCAGAGGGCACGGTGGTGACGAGACCGAGGATGGGAGACGAGGGTATGGGGCGGTGGGGGAGATCTTCATTTGGGAAGGGGAGGTAGAAACCAGTGAATGGGTGGGGAGGGGGCATGTCATTGGGTCCACGGGCTGGGAGTTGGGTATCATTGTCTTTGGGCCAGAGACAAATCTGTAAAATTGATAGATTAGCTAACGTCTGGTTGACTAGTATTGATGTCAATGTCGATAGCTAGCCACCGTGCGGCAATTAGTTGAAACCCAATATATAAATTTATATACCTTTCCTTCATTCAAAACAACAATCGCACCATGCACTTCATCCCTCTTCCTCGATTTCGCAGAGCAAAACACATCGAGATGGAATTCCTGCAGTCGTTCCTCGGCCTCGGCTGCTTCGTCCAGCAGCCGCTGTTGATGGACGGCTTCGTTGGCCCCCATGGCAACGGGTATGCCAGCGAGGGTGAGCGCGTACATGTTAGTCGGGTTCCCGCGGTCGCGTCGTCGAGCAGTATCTGGTGGGGGGATTATGGCGCATGGGGGGTGAGCGAGGTTGATTGTTCATGGTGTGGAGTTGGCTGGGCTGGCTGGGATTAAAAGTACGATGCTGTCATCGGTCGCGCAACTGTGGAGCTGGGCTCCGGCTGGACATTCCATGTTGCCCCTTCATCCTGATACAAAACCCTCTAATTCATAACGACAAGCCCGTTGAACACACTCCTCTTCGTGAAATTAGTACTTGATTACTCGTATCTTTTTTTTTTCTCTGTGAACTTTTTTTTTAATGTAAAGTAGAGATTCTTGTTATTATACTCGCACCTTCACGTCCACCTGGAAGTACTTAATGGTATTAGGAGCCAAACTCTTTCACATGCGACCATAGGACACTGAAAATAGAGATGCCAGTCCGACTTGCCGCTCGTCAAAGTATAGATGGGAACTAAGCGTGCTGTTATAGCGTCTTTAGGCACCCTCTTCAACAGTAAGTAATTATAGTGGTCGGCTGCCGTACAAAGCTATCTCGTGCGCAGACTTACCGTACAGCCTACAACTACCACACTGCCTTATAGCTATAGATCGCGCCCGCGTTAGAACGACAACCATTGACGATCCACAATAGTTAGTCGTTAAGGCCGAAGAGCTTGCCATCACAAGAGAACGTTTCAAGGAAACGCTTATTCGTGCAAGTTTTAAGCAAGCTGCAATGCTGTTACACAATTCGACTGCGGTTAGAGTAGTTGTACAGCTTCAAACTGTGCCGCGACTTTTTTACATGGAGATTTTGCTCCTGATGGCTGTGATTTTAAAAATTGAATCGGTAGGTATTATAAAAGTGGCTCGTTGTACGAACTAGCGCATTAACGTTACGCGACCAGCCTCGGTATTCCTCATGTAGAAAAGCGTACTTGCTGCCTAATTCCACACCATCAACTATCCTCTCAAACCCACAAATACCCAGGTAGTTTCCCGTTCGACATTAAATACTATCTATGAGGAGGGAATAGAGCGATCATACAATATTGTTAAGTTTAGGTTCGTTGATTCGTGAGTTCAAGCCATTGCCTGACAGCTCCGGCAGCCGCTCACCCCCTCGACCGGCACAATGGGCCCCAGTGGAGCTGAGAAGATTGAAACACTATACAGGTCTTCTATAGATTCATTGAGAATATATAGAGAGAACAGGTCAGATAACAGGAGTTCCCTGGAAGAGAGTATCGACCTAGCTAGAGAAGCCGCCGAACTATTAAAAGACACTACCGCTGCAGACACCAAGAGTAAAATATGGAACCATCTTGGTATCGTTCTCCAACACAGATACGTTGATGCGAAATCCGGTTTAATAAGGGATATCGATGAATCGATCCAATATAAAGAGAGTGGCTTGAAGGCGATGTCCCTAAAGACCAAGGCAACCGTCAGAGCTCGGCGAATGATGGGCCTGGGAAAGGTGTATGGTTGGCGTTGCCAAGCAGACCGCAAGGGTCATGGAGAGTATGATTACTATTTTCGGCAGGCTCAAGACCAGTTCCATGATGCATTGAAGGCATTGAATAGTGTTGGCGAAGCACTGCAAGCTACCAAGAAGATTCGTGTCGAGATACTCGATAGCCAGGGGATTTCCTATCGAGATCATTATCACGCAACATTGAATTTGAAGGGCCACGGTGGCGCCAAAATTTCGAGCCTTCACGCATCAATCTCATGCTTCGAAGAAGCTTTGGAACATGCCTCGCAAATTCAAAGCTACTCCACAACCAGATACAAGAAAATTTTAGCAGTCGGCTATGGTGATCTTATACAGTCATTGGACGAAGTAGATTTTCACGGATCCGAGCCAGCATGGTCTCGTTTCTGGTCAAATGGCCTTGCGTTGAGTCAGGGTGTTGTTGATGATACGCCAGATGATCATCATAACCGAGCAGAGACTCTCTACAACCTGGCAAGCTTCTATCAAGATAGATATTTACATTCAAGGAAGTTGATCAAGAACATGAAGCTGCACGAGAATGCCTCCGCCATTGCGGAAGATTCTAAACTGGTCGCAAAAGAATTGAACAAGGCTAGTCTTCGGAAAGCAATGGAGTTTCACGAAAAAGCTCTCAATCATACGAAAAGTCCCATCTACAATCGCATGGAAGCCGGACAACAAGCTATGTTTGCCTCTATAGAACTGGAGATTTGGTCCGAGGCGGTTACTATAGCGGAACAGTTGTTGGACTTGGCGGAACAGCTTGCCCTTCCCACTCACTCGGATGAAGATCACGAGCGCATTCTTCGAACGTTTCCTCGCTTAGGTGCAACAGCGGCATCCGTATTCATCAAGGCAGGGAAACCAGCCGTAGAAGCTTTGCAGATACTCGAGAGAGGTACTGGGTTGATAGACTATCTCGCTTTACAAAAGAAGACGAAGCGAGATCTTCAAGAGATGGGGCGAAAACCTAGCGAAGCTCACCTTCTATGTCTTGCTAGCGACGGTCCTGTGGTATGCTTCAACGTTACTTGGCTCGGATTCTACTGTAGCCATGCATTCATCATGACCAGTACTGAAGTACGTGCCATAGAGCTTGGCCAAGGATTCACAGACCTAAAGGTAGAAGAATGTGTCAAGGCGATTGCTTCGGATCAAGGGTACCCAAGGTCATATCGCGCAAAACCACTAAGCTACACCGAGAACGGGGTAACTAAAGCTGCACAGTCTACAACCGAATCTGGGATGAAGTCCTACATGATATGGCTTTGGAACGAAGCTGTGAAGCCCATATTGGAGGAACTTGAGTTCTTCTGGAGGCACGAACCTCCTCCCGAGCTGCCTTTGATCTGGTGGGTTGGTGGTGGCTTGACAGCTCTTCTTCCCATGCATGCGGCTGGTTACCATAATGCTTCCTCTAATGAAAACACTATCAGCCATGTCATCTCTTCTTACGCACCTTCGTTGAAACGGTTGCAAGCTTCTAGGAGCAGAGTTTGGGTACCACTTCAATCGAGCGAAAGTACCAGAAAAGCAAGCCTTGGTATCATTGCAATGCCTACAACTCCTGGATCTGGCTTCGGAGTTTTGAATACCAAAAAAGAGATCGAATCCATCCAGCGGCACATCGCAGGTACAGCTCATGTCGATACTCTGATAACACCCAGCAAGGAGCAAACTCTGCGAATGTTCGAATCTTCGCAAATGGTGCATCTAGCTTGTCATGCAGAATTGGACCCAGAGAGCTCTTTCAGGAGTAACCTTATACTAGGCTCTGGATCGAAGCAGGAAAGATTGTCGGTCGGCGATATACGGTCCATCAATCTTCATTCAGCCCAGATCGCCTATCTATCCGCTTGCTCCACAGCAGCTTCCTTGGACGCAGACTTGGTCTATGAAAGTATACATTTGGCCAGCGCTTTTCAACTAGAATTCAGACACGTAATTGGTACCTTGTGGGACGCGTTCGATGAGGCAGCAGTTCAGGTAGCGGCTACATTCTACGAAGAGTTGCTTCAAGATATCAAGACAAGCAAGGTGCCGCATGCTCTGCACAAATCCATTTCAAAATACAGGAAAGGCCTGGAAGATCCCGGAAACATTCTCCTTTGGGGACCATTTCTACACATGGGGCCTTGACCACCGCATTCAGTTTAAGTATATCACAGCATTTACGCGTGCTTTCTTTTCCATTTAGTCGAAGGTGACCCCTGAAACGAATACCACTAGCACTGTAGTATACCTGCACATCATGGGTCAGTTTCCGTCAGTCCAGAGTCAGACTTTCAACCCACGTGGCTCCAGCTACAAACAGTTCAATTGGCTTAGCGCGCGTAAGTCCGCACAAGATGGCGACGAAGAGAATCGCAGCAACGGCGACGACACCCAGGCGTACTTTTGTGCGCTGTACCGTATTGCAGATGAATATCGGGATCAGCAACAGTGAGACGATAACCGAGCCTGTCAACGTTCTCGTCGCTATCCGGAACGCAGAGTTCGATGAAATGTGAACCGTTGGGTCTCGTGAAACATCGAACATAGAACGCTGTATAGTGTTGGCTCGCAATAACCGAGAGGCAGATGTCATGATCTACTTACGTGCCTCAACCCTTTCCAGAGACGAAGCAGGGTACGTTCAAGCCACGCCTCAAATGTCAACATTGTCGCATCGTGGGAAGCTACAACGCTCGTTAAGTCGCTCGTGTGATCCAAGTATTTAACCTCATCTCGTGCCATGCAACCGTTTGCGTTCAACCAATTCCGAATACTGGATACATCTCGATCTTCCGCAGGATCTAGAGCCAAAATTTGGTGATTTCTCTCGATGAGCTGATCTGGATGCGTTGAGCCGGTAGACTGTTCGCCATCTCACGGACGGGCTTTACCATAATCTGCTAGCGCCTGATCAATGTCTACAATCACTTGCTTCCGGCTCAAATTGTTATCCTGTCTATTACTCGCCAAAATCGAGCCTCGCTGTTCCTCATTGTCTAGCTTTATTAGTTGCTCCTCTAGATCGGATAGTTTCAGTTGTTTGATAAGAAGTAGACGAGTTCGTAGTTGACGAAAGCTACGACATATTTGGAAAGAGTTATGCGCTGAGATGAGTGCCGAGAATCGTGGGTAGCCAAGGCGGAAATCCTCAACTTGACCTTCGTCAGTCCCCGTGGCTCTACTTCAACTATTCCGATCAGATGAACTTACTCTGTTTCGTTTTGGAAGTTGAGCGCTGCTTTCGCGGTTTCCTGAAGACGAAGTAAGGTCTAAGACGTTGGGGAAAGAACATATCGGGGAATTGCAGTCAACGTCGGCACGCTATAAGAAAAGTACCAAGATCTCTTCGGCTCTGTCCAAGACTGCGAAAGAATACTGCGAAGGTGGGGGAATCCGACTGTTCACACAATGCTACATATATCTTCGGATTTGAAGGGTTTTAAGGTCTTCTTTTGTATGGGCAAGGCCAAGCTATAAGAAAAGCGAAAAACGAAGACCCAGGATTCGGCTGCCTCTTACATTCTTTCCCATCGTGCGCTTGCTCCGAGGACCTAAACTTTGTAAAGGACTAGGCTACCGCCATGGAGCATATATAAAATGGTCTACAGTCTCGTGTGAGAAAGGCAATGAATCAGACGATGCCCAAGGCTGAGGATGAACACCCAGTAAGCGGGCTCGTATGAAACGAGGCAATCATGCCAAGAGTGGATTGGGACGATTAACGCCAGTGATCGCACCACACTATGCTGACAGTCAGCCTTCCTTCAGGCGAATCAACGGAAATATGTAAGATGCGTTGGCTCCGTACGCCGTGAACCAATTATAATTCAACCTACAAGCCATACACAACGTCTCCTGATAACGTCGATGAAGAAAATAGCATACTCAATACGTCAAAAGACCGGTCAATGAGCCAACATATGCCAGTTTTATTAGGTCCTCACGTCTGGAACCAATTGACATTCAACTTTCAAGCCATCTACAGCCATATCCACAAGAGATGTTGACGAGGAAAATAGCGCACTCAATACGTCACAAAAGAGGTCAGTCAAAATCAGTAAATATATCTCGAAACTTGTGCCCGAAGTCTCTGCCAAAATTATATAAATCCAAGCCAGTCCCCGTACCGGCATATGGTGCGCTCTAGATTCCCTCTCCAACCTCCAATAGTAAACTGAGTAGCATTCAACCGAAAAACATGAGTTCTAATCAAAAGTAAGGTCACACCTACCAATCAGAGTCATCAATGCTAATTGCGCGTCCTAGCTCTCAAAATGAACAGTTTCGAGTTGTCGAAGGAGGTGGACGTCCAGGCGTGAACGAATCGACTAACGTAAGACGGTGACCCAGCTGTTTACGTTTATTATCCTGACTCTCTATTCAGAACCCGCAATTCTGGACTTTTGACACAGTCAGGTTTAAGAACCCCAAGCCTGGGGTATCTCAAGGGCCGTATAAAGTCGAGAGCTGGGTTGAGCAGGCGGGTATTATCACATATACCATCTCCCTTGATCCAGATGGCCGCGTTGAGCTAGAAAATGTACAAGAAGATGAACTAGAAAAAGTTTCCTCTTGAAAGATTGTAGGGCTTTGTTCAAGGGAAACCCAAATGTGAAGTACTGCCGAGATGGCCTCGTGCTTGACCCAGCAGCTGAAGTGGAAGGTTACATAGATGCAGCCTTGGTCTTTACAATAAAGTTTTTCGTGAACCATTCTTCTTCGTGGTCGCTATCACTATTTCCACGGCATCTTTTTCTCCTTGTATCAAGGAAATTTCCCAGGGTGTTGAGAGTCCCACGTGTGGGAGAGCTCGACAGCGAATCCATCTTCAGTCCTGCAAAAGAATCCGGCCTTCTGGTCACGAAAAGCTTGAATACTTCGTCTTCACTTGTAACTTGGAAGTTGTGAGAGTCTTGCGATAGATCGGCTTCAAGGGCGATGTCGAAACGACAAGACGGACCAAGCACAACCATCTCGCTTGATCTAAACGCAGTCAGTTGGTCTATGATCGACCAATCCGGCCGTAGCGTATAAAGGTAGATGTATAGGACATCCTCGCTCAGATTCTTGATTTCAAAACAAAACTTTTCGCCTACACTGACTTCAAGATCACTGTCTTCGGTAGAGCCTCTTTCATTATCCGTTGGCACGAACATCCGTGCCTCGAAGGATTTTGAGAGAGATTGACTACTGATTCGATTCTCGATAGCTTCAATATACTTGTATGTGGTTATGTGATCCAACAATTCGACGACTCGATATTTCGCAGAATCTTGACTCAGTGGAATAGAAGGAACGAATGGTATAGGCTCTCGCGATGAGTAACAGATTTGATACTCCTTCTCCATGTGCACCTGAACATTGTAAGTGAAATCCTTCTTGTCGCCATCCTCGCAGAGTATTCGCAGATGAGGAAGATCAGCGGAAGCATTCTGCCATTCGATGTCGAATCGGTCCTCTGTGAGAAGTTGGACAAAGAATAACATTGTCGTGGGTACGGTGTGTCAGCCCCA